GATCACATATCTGAATACAAATGGCATAAATATGAATAAAATATGCAGAGAAAATACTAATTTGATGTTAATAATGCACAGTACCAGATATGGAATCACAATACCCTCCAAAGCTTTGTCTAGAACAATCTGCACAAAAAATAAAAAAATAAAAAAATTAATGTCATCAATTATATGGCAATGTCACGTGCAAATAAACTGATTTTGAACTTCGACTATTTCAGAGCAGGAGAATGAGAGTCAACAAAGACGGGGAAAATAATTCCCAACCCAATACACTCACTGGCTTCGACCAAAACAAAAACAAATGTGCAAATAAAAAAAATCATCACTGATTCTATATTTTTTGTAGGGGAACAACAATTATAGAATGGAGTGTAAAGTGAATGGATAAATAAAAAAAAAGTAAGAGAAAAGTAAAAAGTGCCATGAACATTTTATACCAATAACATCCAAAAATAATAAGAAGATGCGAGGGATATGGAGTCAGAAGCGTAAAATTTCTGTCATTCGTTGATTTATAAGAGAAATTGGATGCCGGCTTCTGCTTATTTGTTTCTCTTCACTCGAATTTGTGAAAGAATTTATACATGAGCGAAGCAAGAAGCGGTAGAAAAGAGGAACAAATAGAGAAAACGAAAAATCAAACCGTCATCGAGAAGCCTGGAAGAAAAACATAGGGGATTGAGAAAAAAAACTGCAAAAATAATCATGTGAGAGATTACAGATGCAGTTGGGGAGGAGATGGGATACAAACGTGTTCTATTTTTTGCAAAATAGTCCTAGGACTATGAAAAAATTCTAGAAACTGCCCTAAGGTTTTGAAACCCTAAAGCGCCACGTGTCAACATATTATGCCATAGATTGGCTAGGTATACTATACTGCATTTATTGCGCAAAAAAAAATTACTATCTAAATACTGTCGGAATTTAATGAATTTTAACGGTTTAAAATTACGATAATGCCCCCAACCGTACCTGAACCGTAACGCCAAGATCTAGCTTTTCTGCTTTTCAAGGCGGCGATAAGTAAGCCGAAAGAGAATATAACCGCGAGAGCACACCGTTTGTGTAAAGCCAATGAAATTGGTATTTCTCGTCCGATGCATTTTCGCCCGTCGGAATGCTGAATTCACTGCCCACACCCTGTGCGTGTGTGTGATTCGAGCATAATTATTTTTTTCTGAACGAACATAACTTTTTTATATTTTTTTTAATGAAGTGAAGAAGGAAATAGTACTCTACCTTGATGGCTTCTTGAATGAAAAGAACGGTGATTAGCATGCCAAATAATTCCCCCGCTACCCTTGTGAATCGAGTTATTATTGTACATGCATTGAATATTGCGAGAATAAACAGCATCAATGCAGTCCACACACAAACCCTGTTTTTGGCAAATCGAATTATGACTCATTACGCAAATCGAACATTAAATAAAATAAAATAAAAAATTGAAGGTTAGGTTGCTTACCACCCTGCCCAAGCTAAATACAGTTCCTTTCCTACATTGTGGTTGGCAAAATTGTATAAGTAGGCGTACATTATAATAGTCGGGTCTGCAACATATCAATAATGGCTGCCCACCAAAAATCGAATGGATGACCCCACATATAGCTGTCGAAGCAAGAGTTTCGGAAGTGCTCAAGCTTCCATCTGTTACAACAAAAAAATCAAGAAATCCCAACAATCGTATTTTACGAATTAGTTTGTTAAATTTAATGTATTAACAAAGCGACCTGTTTCGCAACTCAGCTGCTCGCCAAAGGCGATAACAGGAAGAGCAGAAGCGCAGTTGGAGCCAGAATCCTGAGAAGGCGAACAAACAATAAAAATCAAATCTTTTCGCTACTTGATTGAAATATAGCCGCAATTAAATGCGACAAAAGGAAATGCACCCGAGCCACATGTATCGATCCAGTCCTTCTTGTAGCAAGCCAGCCTTCCTTTGACATCGTTCAACATTCCGCTGAACGGTGTCATTACCCCCAGATCCATGGTCATGGCTGCAAATCAAGAAACAAAATTAAACATGTTAATAATAATTCAGTTCACAATATACACATCCTTACCTATATCAAACACTTGTACCTCAAATCAAATTCATGTATTTCGATTTCCAGGAAAACTAAAGAGCTGAGAAGTAAAGATAAAAATATGATCTTTATTTCCCGGAATTTAACAAGCAATTAAATTGGGAAATCAACAAATAAAATCATTAATAGCAACACACCCATGATTTTAAACATGCCAGGGATTCATGGAAATGCACAACAGTCACAACAAATCCAACGTAAAATCAAGAAAAGCAAAAAAAACCTAGGATGAAGGAAATCCAACTGGAAACACACCCCGTTCAACGTAAAATTCAACTGGAAACACACCCCGTTCAAATTCCTTAACATCATCAATATGAACATTACTATCTAACTATAATGGGTGGTTGATGTCTTGTCAAACTATAATTTTTTCGAAAGATTCAACAATCATAAACTAATTATTTAACATTTGAAAAGAAGAACTGCAAATTAACAACTTCTTGAAAACTACTTATAAAAGAGTCCATTGATGAGAATGAAATCAAATAAAAAAGAAAATTTTTGAATGTTTCCATAGAGCAATGAAATCAAGAATAAATACGAACACAAAAAATAGTAAGAATAGAGACAATTTTTTAAAGATTTATGCGTGCGATTCTTCAAGCGAACGAAATACTAAAGATTTCGAGAACCTAGAAATTCACAAATTAGCGAATTAAATAAACACAAATTAGCGAATTAAATAAAGTGAAAACTGAAGATCTTTGTCATTGTTTATGATGTTGATTTGAATGAAAGAATAACCTGAAAATGCGAGCGATTTTGTGATGAATTGCGAAATAGAGATGAATTGCAATTAGGGTTTGAAATGAATTGTCTTTTTATATATATATATAAATAGTAAAAAGAAATTGGGACCCAATTGATCAACTATTGAAAATCGTGTTTTATTTATTTACAAAAAACGTTGTTACAACAATTTTATTTATTTACACACAAACCAACGTTTATTTAAAAAAATCGAAGAATATTCATTTATACAATTCAAACCTAACGGCGGTTCGCATAGAGCCGTGGATGCGCCACCGTCGGTGGCGCCGCCGCCGCCGGTGCCGAGTATCGGCAAGGTATATACCAGCATGCGAATAGGATAGAACGAAGAAGCCCGTGGAGAGAAACAGAGGTATCCTTACATCGAACCAGTAAGCCCATGATATCTCTGCGGCTGACAAAGTGGGGGCGGCTGTCTCTGGCGGCGACGACGGCGACGGAGGTCGCATAATGTGGGTGGACGTTTGCCGTGGAGACGAAGCGGTAGCTGCCTCTTGAGGCGAAGGTTGAAGGTGCGTTTGTGTAATTCGCAAGGTCTCCGATTGCGTCAGCGGCGATTGCGATTGCGATTGCGATTACAGCGGCGGCGATGGCTGGGTAATCTCATCCAGTATCGTCTTCAAGCTTAAGATCTTACTAACAATGGCATTAAATGCCATGCGAAGAAGGACAAGAGAAATGGGAGCAAAAAGGAAGAGCATTTGGCTTCCACAAATTGGCCAAAATTGGCCGAACAACGAAGCGTGCCTGAATTGAGAAAAAAATGTTTTGTAATCTGATCCTCCAGCTGTTTCAACTGAGATTTGATTGACGCCATTGCTAAAAAAAATTCTCTCTGCTGAAATTTGTTTTTCTCTCAGCTGAAATCTGTGAAATCTGTTACTGTATTATGTATATATAATACATTCAAATAACTGATTAACAACCCTAACCCACCTTTAGCATTGAGTATCTGCTGAATACTCGAGCTGAATCTGTTTTTATTTTTTTTTCTCTCAGTTGAAATCTGTTATTGATTAACTAACCCTAACCTCTTTAGCTAATGTATACTAGTGTGTGTATGTCTTTAGCACCGAGTATACTAATGTAACTAACCCTAACCTCTTTAGCTAATGTATACTAATGTGTGTGTATGTCTTTAGCATTGAGTATACTAATGTATACTAATGTGTGTATGTGATGGGTCTATACAAATGGTCCTATTTATACTTAGTTCATCTCTGTAAGTAACTGCATCGATTAATTTAATCATATAATTGTTACAGAAGATTTCATAAAAATTCTAATTTCCTTAGAGTAACTTTTAGAAGATAACTACACTATAGTGATTTTTGGCAAGTTTTTAAAAAAATATTACAACTTTGTCACAGTTCTTATCTATTTCTAGAAAATGTGCATCTACAAAATGGTCTATTTATGAGTTTGAATATTTTCCACCCTCAAAATACAATAAATTATTCATAATGTACCATGAATTGAATGTTTTAAAACCCTCAAAATACAATAAATTATGCATAATGTACAACTCATCACATGGAAAGAGAATGAACACATTCATCGATAATTACGAAACAACCGTTATCTTCTTACATAAATGTACAACCACAAACTATGCAATAACCAACACCAAACACACACATATATGCCCGTTCTTACATGGAAATAGTACCGTAACCTATACAAAACATTGTATATAATAATCGAATCAATAATCGGATCAATTCACTAGCACATTAATAGAAGAGCTTCACGAGTTCGACCAAGCAGATTCAATGCAGTTGCAGCTATGTGATTCCCCGTTAAACCAGCAAGAGCGAGTTGTTCTTGTGGCAATGCACCCTCAATATAATTATCCGGCAAAGTTATAGGCCGCCACTGAAGAATCAAATCGAGAAATACACATAAGAAATTGTTTAATTCCAGATTTATATAAACTAAGTGAATTTATTTTTTACCTTAATTCCAGCATCGAGCAGCCCATCAAGAGAAATAAATCGAGCAACATGAGCACCAAATCCTCCAACGGAACCTTCCTCGACTGTGATAAGGAATCTATGGTTCTTGCATAACATTCTTATTAATTTAATATCGAGCGGCTTGCAAAATCTCGCATCAGCCACAGTAACTTCAATACCAAGCTTCGAAAGAAGATTATGTGCTCTAAGACAATTTTGTACCATCGAACCAAACCCCAAGAAAGCAATATCTTTACCTTCTACAAGTACTCTCCCTCTGCCAATCTATTCGATCTCTTATTTAGAGACGACATAAAAAAAAAAAAAAAAAAAAAAAAAAAAATGGATTGTATGTTTACCTCAATGGATTCTCCGACATATGGTTTATGGTTTGTCAAAGCAACGGCACCTCTAGGATATCGAAAGCAAACTGGCCGGTCATTAATGTTGACCGCAGTGTTGACCATACGAGCTAGCTCAGTCTCATCTGACGGTGACATCACAATCATGTTCGGTAAACATGACATAAACGTTATATCGAACGGTCCAGAATGAGTTGCCCCATCGGACCCCACTAGACCTGCACTCGTAATTGCAAAACGTACCGGAATCTTCTGCCTATCCACATCATGAACTACCTGAGAAAGGTTTCATCAGAGATATATATTAAAAATTAAAAAAAAATATCTTTAAACGAAATTATGGAATGAGATGAAAACCTGGTCGTATGCTCTTTGAAGGAATGCCGATGGGATAATACAAAAGGGTTTTAATCCACCGCACGCTAGACCAGCGGAGAAAGTAACTGCGTGCTGCTCCGCCATGCCGACATGGAAAAACTTGTCCGTTAAGTTATCTTTCAATAATTGAAACGAAGGTTCCATTCCCATTCCTGCATGCACCACTACAATATCTTCGTCTTTTCTTGATTCAGTGATCAAAGCCTCCACAAAGTGATCGCTATACGTTTGCGGTCTAGAATTGCCGTTTAGTGGTTCATTGTTCAAGAGACCTATTTATCAACAAAATCGAAGAATAAATAAATTAAATATTTAAATCCAATATAATACTAAGAAAATGCAGGATATTTAGTATTACTTGTGTGGTAATCTTCTTCGACTTTGTGATGTTCATTTGTTATGACATGAACCAAAACGGGGCCCATTGAGTTGAGAGATGCCACCTCACGAAGAACACAAACAAGGTCTTCTATACTGTGACCGTCTACGGGGCCGATATAGTACAATCCGAGCTCTTCGAATAAAGTTGATCCTGTGGGGCCCATCATACCACGTGCGTACTCGTCGATCTTGGCTGCCCACTCGTGCATTCCACCTCCGATTTTCTTGGTAAGAACCTGAAACAATCATCCATTACTGCAACCATCATCTCTGTTCGTTGCAGCAAAATTTTGCTGGCGTAAGAGAAGGGAGAAATTTTTTGGTTCAATCAATACGAACATTCAAAATCACAATCACCGCAAGTTAGTGTGTTCTGATGGAAGGCGTAATAAATCAAAAATGTTCTGGTAACATTGCTTCCATGAGTGGAAATCGGATGGATCGAGTCGGATTTGGAAAAAGTCCGATTTTTTCAGAAGTGAAACACTAATTCCAATCCAGTTCCAACGAAATCAAATAATTGGGCATTGGAATTTCGGGAATTGAAATGAAAAAAATTGTTCCCCAATTGAGAATTCTAGGATCGGAATAGGCGGAATTCAGAAAATTCAGGTTTTTGAGTAACCTAAAATATAAAATACATAATAACATTTGATATTTTAAGTGTAATTTTTGGAAAAATAAAAAATTCCAAATTTTCGGAAATTAAAATTGGATCGGAAATCCCAATTTCATATGTATTCCAATTCCGATCCAAAAAAAAATCACAAAAATCGGAAATCGGAATTTTTGGAATTCTAAATGAAAAATACTTTCCAAATACCTTAGCAAGCTCTCTGAATTTCCTGAAAATTTTGCTCGACTGCAGCTTGCTCAGAGTACTAGAAACAGCATTAATCGATGCTTTAGGGACATGCTCGAGCTTCATTTGTGAAGAATGGTGACAATCATTTAAAATCACGACCATATTCGAATCCAAATAACCTGCATTGCTCATAGCCTCGTAAACCTGGCCAGCCATAGTCGTTTCGTTGCTAATCACAGAAACTATACGGTCTTTTTTCCCTTTAATATCTCGTGCAACCGCCATACCTAGATATAAAATTATATAAATTAATTATTGAAGAAACAGAATAAATTCTGAAAAGAAAGAGAAATAAATAATAATAATAATACCAAGTCCCGAAGAAATGCTGCTGCACCCATGCCCTGCACCAAAGGGATCAAATGTACTACGACACGTATAACTCGTTAAACCATCTAGAGTTTTAGCGTTACGAACAAGGTCCCTTCTCCCAGTGAGAAGCTTATGTGGATAAGTCTGTTAATTAAATACATAGAAAGAACACGATAAATGAAAAGCAATGATAAAATGTTGAATCCGAAACAAGTTTCAAATCCGACGAATAATATTTAAAAGATACGGGATCGAGAAGGAATATTCTCACTTGATCCTCCATATCCCAAAGAATCTTGTCCACGGGGGAGTTAAAAACGTGATGAATAGCCACTGTTAGTTCGACTACCGATAAACTGGCTTTAAAGGGCTTTTGTGTTTTCGACATGGTATGTAATAATTCAGACTGAATTTCGTCTGCTAGCTGTCTTAGTTCCTGCACGAGAAATATTCTATTTTTTTAGCTGCATTGTTGCAAATTGAACTCCAAAATTAAAAACTTAAATTACAAATTTATCGAACCTTGGAAGTTAAATTTTTTAAATGCATAGGACTTTCGATCATGTCGAGAATGGGTGTCGGCCCTTTCTCATCGGCGTTCGGTAAACAACGTACGTCACCACAATATTCCTACATCAAGAAATAACACCATATGCAACCTCATTAAGTTTCAAGTGGTCTTACATTACTTCTAAAATCAAACATCCTTTACAACCGCCCCCTGAGGTAAGATTAAATTACGAAAAGACACCTCATGTTTGAGTAATTACAACCACCCCTCAACTATTTGAATATTCTTACACATTCACCCTTGCGATGTCAAATTTAGTGAAATCTTTTAGATTATGCGGAATATTCTCCGTTTTGTACCCGTTTTACCCCATTCTCACTCCACATTTCGAAACATGATCATAAGCTTGTAAATATCAAATCATAGTGCATCTGAAACTGTCTTTTTGCACAAATTAGAGAACATTCCACGTAATCTAGAAGATTTCATTGAATTTGAGCACATATAAGAAGCTTCATATTTGATGGTGGTTGTAATTACCCAAAGATAAGGGGGTTTTTATGTAATTTGACCTTACCTCGGTAATTTACCTATGATTAATGGCGTATAAACAAGATCAAATAAAATGATTGGTCACTGATTAACGAATACCTTGGAAGTAGAGGTGGAAGCTGAAGTGTGGGCAAAGCTAAGCCTCGAGAATTCCACATTTGAAGGGAAATTAACACTTGAGAAATTGATTTTAGGACTCAGTAATCTCGAATTATCACTGAAATCAGCACTAATCCGTAAAGGGTTCTGCCGGCAAGAAGCACTGGCCATTGATCAAGAACAAAGAAAAAAAACACGATTTTTTTTTTCTGATTAAAAAATCAAGAAACCAGCTCCCAAGAACTGATGAGTTTTTGATTGAATCCCAGAAATTATTTTCTGGGCACGAATCATTTGTGGAGAAAACAAACAGGGGAGATTGAAGATGTGATTCTGGAGTGATGTGGACAGAGGAGGACTATTTGGGCCGTAAATGGGCTTTTTCTTTACGCAAATTCGGGCCGACAAACTTTTTGTAGTATGGGCTGAAACGTTAGTTTTTTCTGGTTTGGTAATTAACGTGAAAACCCGCTTTTGGTGCTAAGAAAGAAAAGTAAACCACGTTTCTTAAAATGTAAAGGAAACTTTTTCGTCAAAGGCAAGTAATTTATCCAATTTAATTCCTCCTTATCCACACTTTATTATATATTTCTGTAACGTATTTATGTATATATATGTAATACTATATAAGATGTTCATAATTCAAGGCTGATTTCTGTTATTTGTGTAGGGGATTCTCTTTATATAATTAACTTTGGTTTGACCAATCAAATATCTCCATATTATTATATATATAAGATGGTCAAATGATATGAAAAATTAATTATTAATTCTTTCAAACTTTTTTTTTTTCCTGCAATTTGCATTTTCCATCGTTACCAGAGATTATCAAGTTCATAAGGTATGTATGCTATGGAGTTTTAATTTTTTTTTTTTTATTATTTTTATAATTGAAATTTCGGGTTTGAAGCCCCGATGAAACGTCGAATCATCGAAATCTGACGGACCGTGTGGATCACTTTTCTTCCAGAAACAAACCTGACATTTCTTTGTTCAAGACAATTTCACATGTGTATATGGTCCACTCTAACCCTGAAGTGTTGACTTTTTGTTCTTATTTGTGCAGTAGTTTTAATTCTCGTTGACTTATCCTCTAGTTTTAGCCATATTCCAATCCAAATAGTAAAACCCCGCCAATTGTGGTCCTCAATTTTATAAGATGCGTCTAGCTTTAAACCCGCACTAAATTATGGGTATAAAGTGTACATTTTCACATTGGTTCATAAATTATTGGCTGACTCGTTGGATGCGGTTTATTTCATGCTGCACTGAATGAAATACATCGAATACGTATTATTTATTTACGCTCACACACACATGTTAGAATGTGTTGATGATGGTAAATTTGACCCAAAAGATCCTCATTTTGGTCACATTTGACTTTTATATCGATCTTTTCAAATAATTTTTTTTTTCAAATTTCTATTACAATGAAAAACATAAAAGGGAGGAATATGGGATTTGAATCATAAACATTTGATAATCACTATTAGGTATGATTTTTTCTTTTTTTTTTTTTTTTTTTTTTTTTTTGGGGGTGTGTGGTGAGGATTATGTTTAAGACCTAACTCACTCATCATCCACACATATGAGTTCTGATTTCAATCATTTAAAATGAAGACTATTGAGATCTCAAGTTGATTTAGAAAAATGTCAATTCTTGTATATATATATTTATGTATTTGGTCTTAGGTATAGGCATGTGTCTGAGGCCCGAAGTTTGTTATATTATGTTAGGGTCCAAAAAACTATGTTTTATTACAATTAGGGTCCTCAAATATGGTTTTCTTTCTATTTTAATACAAAAAATTAAAACAAAAAAAAATGCATATGGAGCTCAAATTTATATAATTTTTATAGAAAATATGAATTTAATAATTAATACTTACTTTTATATTAAAAAAATTTAAAAAATCAGCTTGGGCAGGCTGGTAAATACAGGTTAACTTGTTAGGAGTTAGTTTTGAGGTTATTGATTAGTGGTTCTCTTACAAGAAAAGTAAAATGCATGTGTTCTAGATTAGAAGCTTCTTAAATTGATTTATTGTCGAGAAGAGAATCAAGTCAAGATTCTTTATGCGTGTGAAAAGTCGGCAGCCGACCGTCGGAATTTCCGATGTCGATCCGGCAGCTTTGTTAATTTCTGTCCTTTAAACACAATTAAATATTAACTCTTTTTTAATTAATCTGTACTTAGGTAATATAAATTAGGTACATTCTGGTTTCAGCAGATTATCAATTGTCAATTATTGGGAAATCATTTGATTAATTAGTCAACGTTTGGTTGTTTTTTTTGTTAATACAAAAATCATGCATGTGACATGCAAAATGACATAATTTAGCGTGTTATATTTTATGATTAATACTAATCATGATGCAGCCTTTCTCTTTGACTAGTCATATATCACCCAAATTTATAACTTTCATAATTATATACTATAGTATTTCAAATTAACTGCTTTCATACTATTTAGTTTATTTTATATTTTTGAATGTTACCTCAAAAAAAGTAAATAAAGTTGTCATAGAGATACTAGATAGATATCATGCAAATAATGCCACGTTTGCAACCGTTGACTTTGAATACTAGGGATTGATGCCACATCTATATATATTAATTTCATATAAATTATATATGTACAGTTTCATCTATATACAGTTTGTATGCATCAGGATTGAAATTATTATCAAATCAATTATTTTCAGGATGTTAAAGCCCGAATTTCTACTGATATGGTTCTCCCTCCTCATAATTGGGCCCGAAATCCGATTTTCCCGGGCCGACATTGGCACCGCCAGCCAGTACATCCCTCCGTACTTACGTAAGTTCCACTCTGCCGCTTACAGTACCCCGTTGCCAGAAGTATTCAAATCTGACATTATTTTTTTTTTTTGCATTTACTTAATGTTGTGTATTAGCGACGGCGTGTTACGGAAATGACGTGTCGCAGTTCCCGACGAGCAACCTATTCGCCGCGGCAGGGGAGGGGCTGTGGGACAATGGCGCCGCCTGCGGGCGGCAGTACTTGGTGCGGTGCATCAGCGGCTCGCTGCCGCAGGCGTGCTTGGTTCCCGGGGAGACGATCCAAGTTAGAATCGTCGACCGGGCCCAAACGTCGGTTTCTCGGCCCAGTCGAGATGGGACTAGCCTCGTGTTATCCAATACTGCTTTCCAAACAATTGCCAATCCTGCGGTTCCCTACTTGAACATCGACTTTCAACAGTAAGTATCTATAAATATATACATACACATTATTGTATGCATATAAAACACACACACACACACAAACACGTTTTTTTTGCTAGACTTAGTCTTCCATGAGTCGTACTTTAATTATGGGGAAAATGACTTCTTCTTTTGTGAGTATTCGGAAATTACCTCTCAAATTTCATCGACGCATGCACGACAAAATTAGGAATATGCTCTCTTTAATTTAAAAAAAAATATATATATAATCAATTGACTCGCAATTAAATTATATAGATAGATAGATAATTTCATATATATGTAGTGAAAATTTAAATAAATTAGAAACTAACATAAGTGAATATATGTTATTATGTGTAGGCTATGAGCTCGATTAGCCGGCCCGGCGGCCCGGGGAAGCCGACGGTTGTTAGTTGAAAATTTTAGGTGAATGGACATTTATAATTATTTATTGTATTTTTTTTATGATGTAAAAAGAACTGAATATTGATAGTACTTTAATTTCTCCATAATTTCTATATTTATTGTTTAATCTCTTTCGATACGTCTTTACTAACATGTGAATGGGTTTTCGTTTTTAAAGTGTTGGGGGAATTCGAACGTAACACTCAACAAACAACGCTCGTAATTAACGTACATCTTTTGTAGTTTACGAATGCAGCATGTTCGTGAAGGAGTTCGAATTCTTGTGTCCTTTTCTTGATTAATTCTGAATTTAAAATTTATTGTTTGCAAAATATATAGATTAATAAAATAAAGAAATGGAGAAATTAAGACTAAAAATAAGAAGTAGAGAAGAGTCTTAGCACACAATGAATTGTCAAACTTGTAATTACAATAATAGAGGGAGATGCCCATATCAACATACAAGATTCAACTGTTTCTCCATTAAAAACTTTGAAATATATTTTCATATTAAAGATTTAAAATAGAAAAGGTCAACTTCCATAGCGATGGTCAACGACTATTTTTTCAAATATTTGGCTCGGGATTGGCTGATTTTTCTTAAATTTGAGTTTTAGTGATTTTGAAAGTGACATGACCAATTTTATTTTTGTAATATCTCTAAATATTTTTGGACTTTTAAACATGTACATAAATTATAAAGTATTGATAGCTAGTCTTACCTTCTAGACTCGAAGGAACTAGTACTATTACTAGGCATTAATTGAATGAATTATTTGGATATTTGTAATAATAAAAAAAATGACCTTGATGTAATTTTTCATATTGTAAGTCCATGTTAGCCGAAAACATAAGATAAACTTCCTAAATTAAATTGATTAATTAATATAATAATAATATTAATGCTTTCTGGTGTCAATATTTCTGACCTTATAGCTATTTATGGAATAGATCCGCAATCCAAACCTTCCAAGTTCCAACGGTCTTCAGATCAGCGAGACCTATATTATTGAACTCTAACCAAGCGAGCTCTCGGCTTTTCTTAGTTTTTCGTCGGGAGTTCGGCTCAATGGTGCATAGCGGTCTTTCATCAGCTAATTTGGCTTTTACGAGATCCAGTGAGCTTTTGGCCCACTAACTCAATATGTGGTATTCGACCGAATAGTGCCGAACTGACCCCATCAGTATCTATAGAAGTGTACGTGAACATACTTAAAACAGACAAAGATTTTAAAATAAGTCGATTTAAATTATAATTTTAAAAGCACCTACACGCTACAATTTATTTGGGCTTAAAGTTAAATTGGACTCAATATTGGGCTTTACACAAAAATTATCTACAATTAGTAAGCCCAAAGTATTAGGCCTTAATTGGGCCAAACAGATACACAATAAAAAAAAGGGTAAATTACACACACCCCCCTGAGGTAAGCTTAAATAACTGTAAGGTCCCTATGGTATCGATAATTACATTCACCCCCTGAAAGGTAGTTAAAAACTCTAACGGGATAATGCATTGTATACATTATTCCGATAGGGTTCTAATGGACTATTACTTTTAGCTAGTTGTGGAGATAACATAGAGTTATGGGGAGTTATGGGGTAACATGGCTCCCCCAATATTTTTTAAATCACCCATAACTCTTTGTTGTCTTCACCACTTCCTGAAACCAATAGTCCATTAGAACCCTATCAGAATAATGTATCCAATGCATTATCCCGTTAGAGTTTATAACTACCTTTCAGGGGGGTGAATGTAATTATCGATACCACAGGGACCTTACAGTTATTTAAGCTTACCTCAGGGGGGTGTGTGTAATTTACCCTAAAAAAAAAACCCGGGCCCACTTATTAAATAAATATTATTTAAAAATTACAAAATTTCCAAAATCCCCAATCCAAACAGTGCAGTACTCTACTCTGTTCGTGCGATTACCTTCTCTTCCCGTAAAACATCCATTTTTATCGATTTTTAGAAATTCTCCGATCTGTGTAGAGAGAGAAAGTAGAATGTCGGGGAAAGGAGCAAAGGGTTTGTTGACGGGGAAAACTCCGGCGGGAACAAAGGATAAAGATAAGGACAAGAAGAAACCCACCTCTCGCTCTTCTCGAGCTGGACTTCAGGTTTCAATTTTTTTTCTCTCTCTCGAATTCTACTACTGTTTGTGTTATCTGTTGATTATTTTCATTTTCTTTCGTGGACTTCGTTTCATTTTATTTTATTTAATTTATCAATGACTTTTTGATATTTTCAGCATTTTTTTTTTGTGGCCGATGCTTTTTCTCTACGTAATTTTGGATGCTGGATAGGGTTTGATTAGGGCTCTTACTTTATCTCCTGTTAACTGTATTCAAGTTGTTCGTAGATTAAACGATGCACTCAGCTTGATCGATTATCATCATCATCTCTTTTTTTTGTTTTTTGTTTTTTTTTTTTTTTCTGTTGATTTTATTTTTATGTATTAAGGTAAATGATTTTGTTGTATTAGGGGAAATAGTTTTGAAATATAATATTGACAACCCTGCATGATTCGGTTGAGTTATTATAAGCGAAACAACACATTCTAGAACACTCTAGATCGAATTGTGGTTGAAGGGAAAAGTAACTGAGCTGAGATGAGCTGAATTCATTTCGTGCATCCCTTGTGCTGATTTGAGCTTCTCGTTTGGCTTGAGCATAAGTGCGTCACGTTAAAAAACGCGAAATCAATCGTCAAAGAATTAAGATAATTTATCGTATATTGTTTGCATGGCATGATATGGACATGTGGCTGTAATTGTGCATGAATGATAATTGAACCCTATTTTGTTTCGTGAAATGTTTCGTTGCTACATATAATAGAAGTACAACTTAAGAATACTACATCTAGTCTATATTTTGTTGATGCAGTGCCTGCATTTTCTTTTAGTACGATTTTTTTGTGCTAAAGAATCTTCGATAACTTTTCAATAGAGCTCATTAACTTTTTTAATTTTTTATTTTATTTTTGGTTATTTTGTTTGTGTAGTTTCCTGTTGGAAGAATCCACCGACTTTTGAAGGAACGAGCGACTGCGCATGGAAGAGTAGGTGCAACGGCTGCTGTATATTCTGCAGCCATTTTAGAGTACCTAACTGCAGAAGTGCTGGAATTGGCTGGAAATGCCAGCAAGGATTTAAAGGTGAAGCGTATCACGCCACGTCATCTCCAGCTGGCGATACGTGGTGACGAGGAACTCGATACCCTCATAAAAGGAACTATAGCTGGTGGTGGTGTCATCCCGCACATACACAAGTCGCTCATCAACAAGTCCTCCAAGGAATAAAATGTTAAAATAAAATCGTGTTGTAAACTGTTAAATATCGTTCTTGGATTAATTAGGCTGTCTACATATTTAGGTGTTCTTGTTTGTGGCGTGTATATTGAGAGCTGAAAACGGGTTGCTGCTCGGATTATGTTTTATGAGTTGAACAAACTTTTAGGCGTATGCTTCTTTCGAATCGTGTTGCATCAAATTACTTGTGCTAAAAAAAGGGTTTCTTGGATTACGTTTCACAGTAGGCTTCGTTTGGAACATATTACAGTCATTCTTTACATAAATTTTATATATATTTTTCGAGATTTTTGCATCTTGGAATTTCAAGAACTGGAGGCGATAAATAATCGAGAATCTGTCAAGAATCAAAGGTGATAAATAATCGAGATCATCTGGATACCTAATTGAGAATCTGTCACCAAGTAATTAAGACAAGAGAAGCAAGATATTTCAAAACAAAGTACCTAAATAATAATCACTTCAATAACTCAGTTCTTACACAGAGATAGATTCAAGTGAAGATAAATAAAGATTAGAAACTTACATCGAGATCAAATAATACACAATTCAGCACCAAAATGCCCTCGACGCAAGCCATCGACCACAATAAATAAGTCAAAATGAGAAAAAGCCTAGCATGCTGTCAAGATTGATCCCCAGCTCCAAATAAATACACAAACACCCCTCATATAACTTTTTCGCTACATATAAGTCCAGCTGGATCTCAAACTCTACAAACTAGTCTTCCAAAATAGAACATAAAAACTCCTATCACCCCTAAAAACAATTTTTTTTCCATTCTCCCAGAATACGAAAACAAAGAAAGAGAACTCGAGAAAAAAAGGACCTAATCGCAAATTTTCAAGAAACCTTTCAAATTTATCAAAGAAGCGAAACCTTAGGGACCTCCACAGGAAATTGATGAATCTCATTCATCCACGGGCTTTTCTCCTTTGCTGGATCAATAGACCTAAGAGCCTTCCACACAGCACTGTTACATTTAAAGCCCGATCCAAAAGCAATCTGCCAAGTCCTATCTCCCCTCTTAATCCTCCCTTTAGCTTCCGAATACGCCAGCTCATACCACAGTGAGCTGCTCGACGTGTTTCCGAATCGGTACAGGGTCATTCTAGAAGGTTCCATATGCCAATCAGACAGCTGGAGATTCTTCTCCAACTCGTCCAACACCGCCCTTCCACCTGCATGTATGCAGAAATGCTCGAACGCCAACTTGAAATCCGGTATGTAAGGCTTAAGCTTCATTTTCAAAAGCTTCTTCCCAACTAGAGTGGCGAAGAAAAGCAACTGTTCGGACATGGGCAGGACAAGTGGGCCCAATGTAGTGATATTTGTCTTTAGTGCATCGCCTGCAACTGCCATCAAATCCTTCGAAAGGGCAACTCCGACTTTTCCATTCGGATCCTCCATTTGAGTTACACAAGAGAAACACTTATCGTCCGAGCCCTTATGTGTTCTTACGGTGTGGACCAATCTGTACTTCGATCTCCAATAATCGGATCTTTTGTTCGACAGCAAAATAGCAGCACCACCCATTCGAAAGAGACAGTTCGAAACGAGCATTGACCTCTCGTTCCCGAAATACCAATTCAGGGTAATATTCTCCATGCTTATCACAAGAGCGTAAGTGTTGGGGTGCACTTGTAAGAGATCTTTAGCAAGATCGATCGATATCAAGCCGGCACTACACCCCATCCCACCAAGATTGTAGCTAATTATATTCCCTCTAAGCTTGTAATGATTTATAACCATAGCGGACAAAGAAGGTGTAGGGTTAAAAAGGCTGCAGTTAACAATCAAGATCCCAATGTCTTTAGGTTTCAAGGATGTTTTCGCAAGAAGCTCGTCAATCGCACCAAACATTACAGCCTCGGCTTCTTTCCTCGCTTCATCCATGCACGGATTCGGCGGGACCCGCAGAACCGCTTCTGGGAGATAAGTGGACTCTCCAAGACCGGATCTTTCCAGAATCTTCCGCTGGAACTCGAGATTCTCTTGAGTAAACGTACCGGTCAAACTCGACCTCTCCATGAAGATCTGCCTAGTGCATTTCCGGTCCTCATCGGGTTTGTAGCACGAGAAATTCACGAGGTAGACAGGGCGAGGGCGGGTGAGGAAATAGACGGTCGAGAGGAAAACCAATAGGGCAGAGCAAACGATTACCGAGATGAGATTGAATCTAAGATGGCTCCAAAGAACCGAAATGTCTTGGAGAGAGAAAGTCGAGATTTGGGCAGCAACAATCACCAAAAGAGGGGATAAAAAAAGGTACATTCCATGGGTGATTAAGTAATGGTAACCGAGCTTCACATACTTGAGTTTTACAGATTGCTTGAAATCAGGGAGCTTTTGTGAAGAAGAAAAAGGTGGGATCAATGGTTTCCTCTCGCTCATCTTTCTCTCTCTACTTCAATCTTTTCCACTCTATCAAAAAAAAAAAAAATGATTGATTGACCCGGGATCAGAAAATTGAGAAAATAAAAGATCCTTAAATTGATGAAATCCTAGTCCCAAGATTTGAGCCCTTTTTTATCTGGATCTAAGAGAGTCCTATTAGAAAAAAAAAAAGGCTTCTAAAAGAATTCCAGATTTATAACCATCTAGATAATGGTCATCTAAAATCAAATTTTCTTGAAAAATAATGTACCTTTACACAATCTCTATGCAAAGTAATGCAGCCTGCACCTCAAGATTTCCCTAACAAATAAATCCCTGAAAACAAAATTCGAAAAAATAAATAAACAAAAAAACCCATCGTCATAAAATAAGCAGACGTAGAAATGATGGCAAAAAGATTCCAACTTTATCAATCAATTAACAAGATTCGATTTTTAATCATCAACATTTCTGCTCAATAATGAATAAACTCAAGAAAAAGGTGGAAATTATCAAAAAATAAGAGAAACCCGGAAACAGGAAGATCATAATAAAGAGAAAAAGCTAACCTTTTTGTCCTTCAAATTTCTTGGAGCAAAAAAAAAAGAAAGAAAACCTATTGCAATGTATGAAGTGTATTCTAGAGAGAGAAAGAGACGGAGAGGAGAGAGAGAGAGAGAGAGAGTATTTTGTTTTGGAAAAAGTTTAGGGGGGTGAATATTATGAGGGAATAGTGCGCGTGGCGACAACATGTGTTTGATTTGAACGCATGTTGGTATGTTTGGGCAATGAGTTGTACATTAATGTTTTTTCTTTTCTTTTAATGTGTGTTTGGATGAGTTGTAATCCTTCCAAAACTTCTAATGTCAAAAGCGGTTTTTCATTGTTTGTATCTATCTATTTTTATATATATATGTTTGATTTTTCGAGAGTTGAAAATTAAGATGATGATACTATTCAATTTTGATACTCGAAATTTTAATGAAATAAAGATTATTTTTTTGGAATATATATATTGGATAAGGGGTATTGGATAGAGTCAAATTGGAAACAAAAGGATAATCGTCCTCCTTTTTCGAAAAAAAAAGAATATTAATAGGGATATTTTTTTAACAAACTTATTAATAATAATATTTATTTCGAAAAAAAAAATAACAACATTATTCTTCTAATAAATTGATGTACTGTTTTGTTTAATCGATTTTCTATTTTTTGCTCTTTATAATAATCGAGTACTCGCAAATTGATTACCAATCATTAATTATGTATTGAACTCCTAAAAAATAAATAAAATGGTAGTATATAAGTAGAATCTAATTATTTGTTTAATACACTCATATAAATATGTGTGTTTATTTGTGGATGAACATACTCCATACATTTGCAGCTTATGAAAGGCTACATAGAATCATCCACATTGGGTGATTTTTAATTATTATCGGGATAATTAATCACCATTAAATATATATATATATATGGGTGTGTGCGTGATTGAATACAGATCAACGGTTAAAGCATTTCAAAGTTACTAATTGCAATTTATGCCTTTCGTTAGAACCAATGGTGAATTTTGGAAAAAGTAGAAAGTTACATCGGGTGTCTTTTTTTTTTTTTTTCTGATGATCTACACATACAAATGTGGATATGTGTGTTTGTGTGTATATAGTAAAGATCTACCCGGTTTATTAATCGAATATCGGGACTCATCCAAACTTTTAATTTTTATTATGTAAAATAAAATAAAATTCAAAAATCATTTTTGAATAAGAAGTGCTGCCCCACTTCTTTTAGCAATTATTATGTATTCAAAGAAAGAAAGGAAACCACAACTGTAGCCTTTAGAGAGAGGTACTTCAAAAACGACACAAACTTGACTAAACGACACCGTTTGGGGTATTGCTTACTGGGTTCACGTGTCTGATATATCGTATTCAAATATCAATAGGGACACTGTATAATTAATTAATTAATTAATTAATTAATTAATTAAATAATAAATAAAAACATTACTTACAACAAATGCATTCACATGAGATTGGCTGCCAACATTGACTGCCTCAATTCTCTGACCTGAACAAAACAGCTTTACAAGAACTCAACATTGCAAAAATCAAGTGAGATTTATTGGAATGAATAATTAATAAATAAAATCATGTGATTATAAATTTATGATTGAGTAACATAACTAAAGATTACAATTTCTATCACTATCAAGATTAAGTCAATTTTTATTTTAGAATAAAGTAAAAAGAAACAGTACATATGATGCTGTCTTCTTCTGCACCAGAGTGTTTAAAGCTGGCTTGTAAATGGCAATTGTGTAATTAGCAAGATTCTGTTTTTCATTGGCTGGCATTCTCAGGTGAGATATCTTTGGTGAATGCAAATTCAGACACCAGTGCAATGTGATCACTTCCCCATTTCTGATTTAAAAAAAAAAAGAAAAAAAAAGAAAAAAAAATCAGTTTTCATCGTTTATGTTAAAAGAACTGATGTAAGATCTGGAAACAGTACCTTTGTGGGAAATCCGGGAGTTTGCTGCATAACATGCTTGGGAATTGGAGCGAGAACCTTCACCGTTTGTAGACCTTCGGATCGCCTGGACATCAAATTGGATTTTAATGAATTATTTCGGCAGAAGTAAATAGTCTTCCGAATGAAAGTAAATACAGTCGAAGATATACTCGAACTTCCTAGAATTACTTAAAATGTCAATCTTGAGCACGGTTTTATTATTTAGCTCCCGTTAATTATGGGTTAAGTGTTATCAGAAAACCACTTGTGGTCAAGGTTCTAAAAGGCGGTTATCGGGTACGTGGCGGTTAGGGACCGCCACACGATAAATCGGCGCGGCGGTGATTTATCGGAGATAAATCGGAAATATATCGGTTTTTAAATTTAGTGTAATATATTTCTAAATATTATTTGTAAATACTCAAAATATATATAAAATAATATTTAAACATAATTCTATCCTATCATTCATATGTTATTATATAATTCTAATTACTCAATAAATAACAAAAATTTAAAAATAATAAGATCATAATATAATAAAAGATTCTTACGAAATACAAATACTACGCAAGTCTTTCGTATCAACAATTAATATAAACACAACAAAGCATAAATTGCGGGGTAGTAATTGGTTTGGTTTTGGAAGTTGAAAGAATTGGAGAAAAACAAAAAATCAAAACATATTTTCATTTTAATTTAAATTTAAAAAAAAAAAAAAAAAAAAAAAAAAAAAAAAAACCGATTTGTTGACCGATATATCGGTTTGACCCGCCAAAAAACCGCCGCAAACCGCCTCGCCATAAAAAACCGATATTCCAAACCGCCTCAACAAAATCGTAAAGGTTTATAACCGATACCGATATGGCGGCCGATATAGCGACCGCCACGACCGCTATTTAGAACACTGCTTGTGGTGTACACTAACATAGACCATAAAGAATATCATACTGCAATAATTGATTAACGAACAAAGACACTGATAGACGGGAATATAGAAAGATGCTCTAAAACTGACCATATGTAATCAACTGTGCCGGAGAAAAGTCTGTGGTGGCTGGTGACAAGCGGTTCGCCAATGGGATCTCTTAACCACGGAGAATTCTGCAAGAGCCGGAGTTAGTAACTTTTTCATGGTTGAAAAATCGACCACTGTCCAACACGTTTAGCATCCTACAAAAAAATTACGAGTCGTAGTTCGTAAAGTTTTACCACGATCTCTGGATATGCACTTGTCAGGTTCAACGGGTGTTCCATGGTCCTGCAATCTGCACTACCTGTTGCGGTTTGTATTTCTGCTGGAGTCCAAGCTGATGGACTGTAAAATGAACTTCTCGCCTCAGTGACAACATCATGTTCACCATAAGGATGCAATGTTTGTTCGGGGTAACTAGAATCTAAACCAGCTGGAACGGGACTTTTACTAGTATCATGTAATTTCGATAAAAACGAGTCACGATCTTCACCTAGATTATCTATATCCCCATCAGCTACTTCATTAAGTGACAAGACCTCAAGTTTTTCATCCAACGTAAAATCAGCACTTGTAGTAGATTCGCACAAAGCAGGTTCAGATTCACAGGACAGCTTATCATGGTTATCATTTGCAGCTGAAAGATATAAATCAAGGGCCTCGTGTTTTGAAGAAGCAACGTCAAGAGAATTAGGCAACGATTGTTTGGTTTGGAAATCTGATTCTACATATTCACCGACTTCAGCTACCTTGGAGGGTGTATCTTCAGACGATGACTCAAATAAAGCAATTTTATCTGTGTTCGTAGCTGGACAAATAGGAGACTTGATTTCAGATGTATCTGCTGTATCGTGGCTGGACAAGTCATTACTTATCCTAGTTCTATGTTCTTCACCAATGTAAGAACGAGAGGTTTCATCCATGAGTGAGCATTCAGGTTTGGGAAAGCTTTCCGTAGAAGGGGCATCGAAAGGCAAATCTCCTTGTTCTGTTGTTTCACTATTAATTGCAGAAGGTTGAATAGAATCGTAAGCAGCTTGTTTCCTACATCGTGAAATAAGTGTTTCCGATCAAGTGGCAAACAATAAGCTATCAACAAGTCATTAGACAAATTATGTAATCAACAAATAGACTTATCGACATATACCTGAAATCAGGATAAGCAGGTCGACCTATTTTAGCAGATACTTGCCCAGATATCTTATCTCGGGCCAGCGTTGACAGATCTAGCTACAGTAAGATATTGGAAAAACGCAGTCTTAAGCCGTGCTAGTAGTGAATATATGAATAAAGAAAAGAAAGGGATAAAGATTCAAGCAGTCAAATACCTTTTGTTCTGTGATAAAGTTGTACATCGAACTCTGATAGAACAGCAAGTCATACAGATTCAGAGAGAGACCAACGAAGATTAGATTAAATTCAAACCAATGCAAGGGTAGATATATAGCAATAATCTTTATTCAGATTAGAGATCAGCAAACAACCTTCGGGGTGCAGTTAAAGTCTCCACAAATAACTACAGGAGCATCATCCCAAAGCTTAGAAACAGCATGTGCCCTGTCCAGAAGCACTCTAATCTGACATATAAATCAAGACCATCTACATATGAAATTATGAAGATCACACCAACTTTAATTTGAAATCGATAAGATAGTAGCTACAAGCAGAAAGTTCAATAAAGTTGGCAACTAGGTAAAGGAGAAGGTACGTATCTAGTACACGGAGAAGTACAAAACAGAAACTAATGATACATGGAGAATATTGTTAGAGAGAATCCAATTGTGCATGATTCTGTTGTAAATTTTCTCGTGTATAGTGAGAAACCGACAATTATTAGGAATTGTGCTTTTCCCAAGAAAATGAGGATAAGTATGATGCACTTAGTCTTATATGAGAGATAAAAGGGATCAACCAGAACCACTTATAGACAACTTCCATACCTGTCCAAGCTTAATATCTCCCCTTTTAGGATTGAAAAGCACATGAATGTTGCAAATAACAACTCTATCAGAACTTGCTGAACTGCAATTTCAAAGTTTCGCTATATTCAGCATACGTCATAAGATTTTTCTGGAAAAAGAAATAACTCTATTGAAAATTAAAACAATTATGTGGAAACATCAACTTATACATGCAAAAGAAAAGGGTTCAACAAGAACAACATTCAAAAGGAAGAAATGCATCTTGCCTTGTAGACGGAGTTGATGCCTCATTACTTTTATTTGGCCTTTTCAGAGTCTGTTCAACAAGAAAACACAATATAAATGAAGGAATACCAAATATGGAGGGATGGACAGCATCATATACTCAGTCTCTTACTCAAAAGTATCTGTAAACTGATATACCTCAAAAACACATATCTGGGCAACATTATCTCGAAGGCCAAGCTTATTGTATTCAATAGATTCTTCATGCAGCAACTTGAATCTAAAACACATTCGCACTTAATTTAGTTCCAAGTTAAGGTCTATTTCACATGATACCATCTGACGAGGCAAAATGAAGAATACATAAACCTCCAAACATGCTAAGAACTAAATGACTTAATTGCCAGCTCTGCATATCGAGCCATCAATGTACCTCTAAAAATTTCAAAATTGACTAATCGAATGAATTAACAGCAGATAGTAATAACAATATTCTTTGGAGAACGAAGTTACATAACTATTAATTTTACAAACCTCAATTTGAAACTTAAACTAGCACATCAAGGTATGCTAAAGAACAATAGAGAATTATATGTTATATGTCTCTTAACATTTATTCTACATGCTGATACTTTTGTTCCATCATTGTTTTTAGTATTCAAAAGTTTATTGCTGAACTAAATTTGTGCTGATTAATGTGCAGAAAGTCTCTGCGACCAGTTAGTAAATGAAATGATAGCAGACCATCAATATTTGCTAGTGCAATGACCAATACACGGAATAATAAAGGCAATCAAGTTGAACAAAATGGGACACTAGTAATCTTACATCAGATAGAATTTCAACTAGTGATATGAGCAAAGAATGAAAAAACGGTTTAATATGTAAATTATTTCTGTTACCTAACAACAAGTTCAAGCAAATTTAAGCCATTTGGTCAGTAACTGCAGTCAATCTATAACACTCATCATAGTGGTATGTTCACACTGTTGTCTATTGAGGAAGCATATAGCTCATGAACAAGCAGAAAATCATATATAAGCTAATACAAGAAAAATAAAACAACTCTACCTAAACACAAACGAGAACCTGCATGGTAATTGGCAAGCTAATACATTCAGCCTGAACCCATTCTAAACGGATACTTGCATGAGCTGATACTACCATTTGAAAGTTTGCCAGTAAATTGGGAGTTAATACCTTGAAACACGCCAGAATATAGCACAGCCATCAGCAGGATCACCAGTTCGCATCTAAAAATCAACATGATTACCAATCACTGTTAAAACATGATTACCAATCACTGTTAAACTTAATGTATCACATGGGACGAACCAGATTCCAATGACAATATCAAAGAAACTAAACATTTTAAAAGTAACCTTCCAAATGCCACTGTATCCACGAGGCTTCAGTTCTGCCTCCATCTCTTGGAATCTATCAACCTCCTGTTTTTTCAAATGAAAATACATATCAAACGGATGGGCTAATTTGTTACATTAATGTTATCAGAGACTAAAACGCAAAAAAATGTTACTGGAAAGAAACACGCTGATCAAATGAGAAAATAAAGACAAAGATCAACGAGGAAAAAAATGTTACTGGAAAGAAACACGCTGATCAAATGAGAAAATAGAGACAAAGATCAACGAGATCACATAACTTAACTTCTCAACTCTCACCTAAGATTCTAAAACTTAGTGCCGCATCGAAGGGACACAAATTTTGGGGAGAGGGAGTGTTAAATATTATTCTTCACTAAAGCAAAATGTAAGGAATTACAAATTTCATAACAGAAAGCTAAAAGTGCAGCAAAAATTTGAATTCAAGAGGCTGATAAGAAAAATATTTTGAAACTGCAAGCAAAGTTCACTCAAAGTGTGATAATAATGTTGTAAGAAATCTTTGAGATTTCTTCAAGTATAATTAAATCATATCTAGCAAAAGCATCACGACTAACCTGAAAACATAAAATGTCAGCTGACCATAATCCGAGCTCAAAACATATATTTCTTTTGCGCCAATTCCAATCCAACATATAGCGAGGAATATGAAAGTAAAGTTTCTGAAAGTGATCAATGGCCAAGTACTCAGCTAGTATGTTATATGAGAGAACAGTGAACCGCTCTGCACAGGGGTAGCAAGAGGAAAAAGGTTAACCCATATAAACATGACATCACAAAGACATACTTGCAGGTGGCCGAAGTTCTCAAAGTCATATGTCAAAGCTTTAACCGTGCAGTCATTTCAAAGATAAGCAAATGCTTAATCATTTTTCTTGCGTACTACATTACCACCACACGGTCCACACCTAATTTTTGCGGCAACTAGAAATATGTACGCAAAACAATACGTCCACATAAATGAAACCGTATTCCATATAGCTTCTCAAACCAAGTCATGTCTACAGTAATATAAAACGTTCTAAGCTAAAAAAACGGGACAAAAATCCAGAAAATAGTAAACAGAACACTAAGAACTACCACAATGAGGAGGAAGCCCCGGCTTCCGATACTCCCAATCTCGATAATCCGGAGGCTTTGAGGCCCTTGGCCTAAACTGCTGCTGCATTTGCTGCGGTCTAAACTGCTGATAATTACCAGAAGCCGGTCCCACCTGACTTGGCTGCCTATACGGGCGTGGCCCATGAAATTGCTGCATGACAGGCGGACCCGGCCGGTAAGACTGTGATTCGGGTCCATAAAATTGCTGACCCGTTCCATATTGAGGTGGCGGAGGGACAGCATTGTAACTCGGTCGGAAGCCTCGGTTTGCATCTCGAACTGCACCGTAATGGGAATCTCCGGACACGGATTCCGCTTGGCCTCCGCTGGCGGGGTACAAAGGTCTATCGGAGTAGCCTCTCCTGTCTTGAGGACGCCATCCTCTGTACTGAAATTAACGAATAATATTAACTTTTATACTTGGATGCTTGAAATTGAATACTCGGTGTATGAATTCACTGCAATTAGAGCTAACAAATTTCTAATTGAGAATTAAAATGTTTCAATTTGTTGATATAGAAGAAAAAAAATTGCATATTGGTAATCTAAAAGTTCTCACTCTGCGTGAGTGCGAATGTGTGGGCAGTGGTGATTACATAGGGTCGAGAAGACATGGCAGCAGCGGCGGCGAAGGGGGCGGCGTCTGCAGTGGCGGCAACGGCGAGGGAACGGAAAGAAGAAGGGCGGCGATTCATTGGGGTTTAACAGCTTCACTGGAATTTGAACAGCCCTTGTAAATAAACTGAACGAATAAAGGTTCATACGACGACGTTTAGTAACTAAATAAAATGTTATTTAAATAATTAAATAATTAAATAATTAAATAAATAAATAAATAAAGAAGAGAGAGAGAGAGAGATTTAGAGAGAGAGAGAGGAGAGAGAAGCGAAAAGACGTACTACTACCTACATTCATTGATCTACGAATCAGCGACCACTACTTTGTTGATTTTTCCCCGCCAATCTTCCGTCTCATCCGACTGGTACAAATCCGGTAGTTTTTGACGGAGAAGACGATGTCGATCGGCGCATCTCCTCTCTCCTTGCAGTTTCACGCTTTTAAACCAGCGAGCTCGCGATTTAGAGCTTGCGCCGCCGAGGTCCCCGATTTCTTCTCCGCCGACTGGTATCTCGCGCTCTCTTCTACATATTTATGTTTTTAATTTGATGTTTAATTAGTAATTTTGTGTTTGTGAGAAACTTCGTTTGCTGGAATTGTTGATTTTGTTTTGGGTGGTAGTGAATCGTTAATTGTTGTTGCGCAGATGCTATGTTCATTTCACTTGCGTGTTAAAAGTTTGAAATTAGGGTTTGTAATTAGTAATTCCAATTGTTTTTCGCACTTAGTTGTTGATTTTCTCTGTGTGGCTCCATTTTGATGATATTAGCAAACAGTATTTCCCAATATGTAAACCTTCCCCTGTTGAGCTTATATTGAAAGTTTTCGTGATCGACGTCAGTTTTCGTGACCGACACTGTTGCTAAACAGAATTTTCAATGTCTCATTTTTCAGGCTCGAGTCTCGCAAAAAACGACCTTTCGGTCCGAGATTGAGTGTACCTTCCGAATTTTGAACCTTTTAATATATGCATCCGTGATCCGTCCTTTTCTCATTGTGGGCTGATGAATTTCTTTTCCGTTTCACTGTTATAGTTTAGTGCAGAGGAAGCGGTCGGATACCAACTTGATGCATTGATGTTCAACGACCAACCTCGGCCTGATTATGGCATTGAAGTCATGTATCGGGTAATTTACAGTTTTCAGTCGAGTGTTTATCAGCTGATTTTTGCGTTGATGCATTTCAGTTAGACGTTATCGTAACAGTAATATTATGTCTCGTAACAGTTTGCGGGATTTGATCCTTTTGAAAGATCGACCTACTTCGGCCCCTTCTTTGATTTAGGTCAGGTCAGTAGATCTATCTCCCGTGATGATTTTTATTCAGTTTAAATAATATTAGTAGTGGCGGATCCATGTTAACTCGACAATTCTTCTGCAATGATGACATTATTTGGCAGTTCGAAAGATTTAGACGAATCTTCCACCATTCTAGCTATCGAGTTTTACTTGGTCACAAAGAAAGAAATATATTGAGCAGTTTAAACGTTAACGAGGTTAGTCAGTTCGAACTATCCATCTTAGCGCAATTTTATGTATTTACTCGTTTTTCTCCCAGTGACCGACTTTGTTGAAACAGAATTGCTATAAGCAGCGTGTGTGGGTACGAGGAGCTCGACCTGAAGAAGAAGAGGTATTTCAATTTACTATGGTTCAGGTTAGTTTAACTGCCTTGACTATGGTTGAAATACGTTTTCGTCTTCAGATCTTTCTGCAGAGAATATTGATTCGGCAGAAGCCGAGACTATTATGGAATCTAGTCAACACGAAAGAGCTGGAAATTCTCCTAATATATTCTTTAATAAACTTTACGAAAACTTGTTCATTTTCAGAGAGTTGGCGGTTCTTGGGATGGTTATTGGCTGACAGAATCCGTACTTCACGATGGAGATAGCTTTTCCGGTGGAGTGGCATATTAAACCTGTTTGTCCGCCCCGATATGACCAAAATGTAAAATCGTAAATACCGACATTTGCTATTGAAATTTGAAGCGTACATTGTTTGTAAGCTTCTGTATACTTGTTAATAGAATGTGTGAATATTGAATAATAATCAAAGTTAGAAAAGTGTTGTATTTGTAAACACTCTTTTTTGTACAGGAACATGATATTATGTATATATGGTTATGGCTTAGTGCTTCATGTATGAAATGTCTACTTTAACCTTCGGTTACGTTCGATTAAAGTTCGTTCGATTTTTTTCTATTGGATAAGAAAAAAGAGTTCGTTGTCGATTACTTATCAAATCAAATTCGAACACACTTTTGAAAGCTCCATAAAAAAAAATTATACAAACTTGAACAATTAAATCAAATTCTAACACAATTTTTAAAAATAAAGCAAACTTCTAATTATCCATCGTCAAAATTTTAGCACCACATATTAAAAAGGAATTATTTGGATTAATAATAAATAAATATTAAAAAAAAAAAAAAAACAGCTCAGAGAAATCAAAATCAGCAAAGACAAGATCAAAACTCAGTTCGGCGATGAAGGAATCAAAGGGGAAGAAGGGAAAGGCCGTGGTGGTGGGCGGCAGCATAGCAGGACTATCATGCGCACACGCGCTGATCGCCGCCGGTTGGCAAGTGGTGGTACTGGAGAAAACAAGCTCCCCTCCGACGGGCTGCGCCACCGGTGCCGGACTCGGACTCGATCCCCTGGCTCAGAAACTCATTAACTCATGGCTCAAAGAACCTCAGATCCTTGACTGCGCCACCTTGCCCCTCACCATTGATCAAGTAAATTTCATATCCCTACCTGAATTCAGCGTATCAATTTTGTATTTTGGAAACCTAATTTGATTTTTACTTAATTATCCCCTCTTTGCATTATCAGCTGGTTAAATATTTTAAACTGTCAATTTCACTTCAATTAATATGGTTTATGGAATTAATATATATATATATCTGCTTGGTAATTATTTTTTAATTATAGAACCAAGTGACAGATGGCAACAAGAAGATCAACAGGATGCTCACAAGAGATGAGAACTTCAATTTTAGAGCAGCATATTGGTCTGTTCTGCATAGCCTTTTATACAAAGCATTACCACCGGAAATCGTTCGATGGGGACACACATTCCTCTCCTACAGCGTTTCCGATGACAAAACTCGTGTCAGCGTAAAGTCTAAATCTTTGCAAACCGGTGATATAATTGATGATGTTGGTGATTTGCTTATTGCAGCTGATGGTTGTCTCTCTTCTATACGTCGGAGTTTCTTACCGGATCATAAATTAAGGTTTGTCGATTGAAAATGATGTTATTTCGGGAACTGAAAACTTGGAGATTTTTGTTTTTTTTTTAAACAAAAATGCACGTGTTATTAGGTATTCAGGTTATTGTGCGTGGAGAGGGGTCTTTAATTTTTCGGACGATGAGAATTCGGAAACCATTCTTGGCCTTAAGAAGGCTTTCCCTGACCTTGGGAAATGCTTATATTTCGACCTCGGTTTAGGAACTCATACTGTTTTTTACGAGCTGATGAACAAAAGGATCAACTGGATTTGGTATGTTAATCAACCGGAGCCACAACTTAAGGTATTTTCTAAGGCCTCGTTTGGCTTGGCTGATAAGATTAGCCATGATTAATTAAATAATCAGACGTTATTGGATGGTTGGTTAGTCTAATTACTTTTCGGGCCGGCCCACAATTGTTAAAAAGAATGGCTCTAATCCCATGATCCAATTTATAAGATTATTTATCTTGGCTAATCTTATCTTAAGAACCAAACGTTACCTAACTTTATGTTTATATTTTCTTCTGAATATTGTGCGCTTTCTTGATGTACTCGGGTGAAATGTTCAAAATCTGATGTACTTTTTTTTTTGGGTAACAAATAAAATCAGGGAAATTCGGTAACGATGAAAGTGAGCCCTGATATGATCGAAGAAATGCACGCAGCAGCAGAGAGGGTTTGGGTGCCTGAGTTGGTAAAAGTAATACGAGAAACGAAAGAGCCATTCTTGAATGTGATATACGACAGTGAACCTTTAGACAGAATTGTTTGGGACAATGTTGTCTTGATTGGAGATGCAGCTCATCCGACTACTCCTCACGGTTTGAGAAGCACAAACATGTCGATTCTTGATGGTGCAGTACTAGGAAAATGTCTCGAGAAATGGGGAGTCGAGAATTTACCCTCGGCTCTTGAAGAATATGAATTTACTCGTGTGCCAGTTGTCTCGGAGCAGGTTCTGTTTTCAAGAAGATTAGGGCGTATTAAGCAAGGTTTAGCCCTACCTAATCGTGTCGATCAGCCCTTTGATCCGATTATAGCAAGTCAAGAAGAATGCGAGGAGCTGCAGCAAAAGAATATGCCCTTTTTATTAGATATTCCTTCTATTATTCTCGGTGAGATTATATAGTTGGAGAATTGACCTTTGGCTGTTGTTCTAATTGATACGAAATCATGAAATGGAACGATGGAATTTGTCGTGTGACTATTAAAGCTCCGCATTGTGTTATTCTGAAAGGTTCTGAAATCAGAGCAATTTCACAATTAAATTATCAGCTTCTGAAGGAATCGTCGAGAAAGTAACAAGGTATAGTTTCTAGCTTCCATGCTTAATTAATCTGTCAAAAGTCAACACAAACACACACACACACAGAGCAATAATGATAGTTAGGCTATGCTATTTGATCTAACTGATATGGAATAAATGATGAGATAATACTCGTTCCTGATAGTAAACGATCATAATGCATATGTGTATAATGCAAACGATCGTAATGCATATATGAGTAATGCAAAACACACTATCAAGGAATCCCAATTTAAGCTTTGAATTAGCTGCTGGAGTCAAGGAGAAACCACACACACACGCGCGCACGCGCACACACACACACACACAGATGAAGGGAAAGGCGGTGATTGTGGGCGGGAGCATAGCGGGGATTTCCTGTGCACACGCACTGATTGCCGCCGGTTGGGAGGTGGTGGTGCTGGAGAAGACTACCGCCGCCCCAACTGGCTGTGCCACCGGTGCTGGACTTGGACTCGATACAGTGTCTTTCAAACTCATTCAGCCATGGATTAAACAACCCGAAGTACTCGATCGTATGACATTGCCGTTGACTGTTGAGTATGTAAGTATTATAAATTCAAATAAACAGATCACAATTTTCTCCTTCATAATACAATTGAGTACGTGTTGATTATTATTAGGAACAAGCAACAGATGGGAGCAAGAATAGTACTCGGACGCTTGCAAAAGACCCGAATTTCAATTTCAAAGTAGTGCACTGGTCTGATCTACATAGGCTTCTGTACGAATCCTTACCATCCGAGGTTGTTCTATGGGGGCACTTGTTCTTGTCCTTGTCCATGTCTGAAGATAAAAGTTCTGTCAAAGTGGTCGCTAAATTGCTCCAAACCAATGAAACTGTCGAGATAGTTTGCGATCTTCTTGTTGGAGCTGATGGCAGCCTTTCTTCTGTACGAAAACATTTTCTTCCCGATCACAAACTCAGGTATTTAATTGTGTTGTACCGACTTATATATGTATGTATATATTATATAGCTGTTTCTATGTAATAAACCACCTTCCTTTTCATTATAATAGATATTCGGGTTACTGTGCATGGAGAGGGGTAATCGATTATTCAGACAATGAAAACTCGGAAACACTAAAGGCAATCAAGAAGGCATACCTTGATCTCGGCAAATCTTGTTATTTCGACTTGGGTTCGGAAGGGCATGTTGTCCTTCACGAGCTAATCAACCGAAGGATCAATTGGGTTTGGTATCTTAATCAACAAGAGCCCACTTTTGAGGTATTTAAAATAAAAAACTTTCATTCTTCGTTCGAAAATCAAAATCAACTACAATTTAATCTTCTTCTCATCTTATATATTGATTCAGAGGAATTCGCTCACCACAAAAGTTAGCCACGAAATGATCGAGAATATGTATGAACTAGCAGAGAAAGTGTGGATACCTGAACTGGTGAAAGTAATGCGAGAAACGAAAGAGCCCTTTCTGAACGCGATATACGATAGTGAGTCGTTAGGGCAGTTGTACTGGAACAACAATGTGGTTCTGATAGGAGATGCAGCTCATCCGATAACTCCTCACGGTGCAAGAAGCACAAACATGTCGATACTCGATTCTGCAGTGCTGGGCAAATGCCTCGAGAAGTGGGGCCCACAGAATCTGGGCCCGGCCCTCGAAGAATATCAGTCTATTAGGCTGCCAGTGGCTAAAGAGCAAGTTCTCTTCTCGCGAAGATTGGGCCGTATAAAGCAGCGTTTGCCCGTTTCTGGTCATGAGATATTCGATCCTACGACAGCGAGTGAAGAAGAATGCAAAGTGCTGCAGCTGAAAAACATACCTTATCACAATGGTATGCCATCCATATTGATGTGATGTGACAGTGTATACCTTATTACGACGATGGTACGTAGTTCATTTAAATTATGGACTATATATATAATAAGATGCTCGATTCGACACTAAAAACGTTTCATATTTTCTTTTTAACCGATTTATCCTTAATTTGATCGATTTTTTGTGTTGGATCCAGTACAAATATGATACTAGTCCGGTCTACTTTGGATCGATTATGGGTCCTGTCAAAATTAGATCTGGTCCAACAATTTGCCACACCAACCAACAATTAAGGCTCACATGCTATTGTTCTGAAATGTTTAGAAATCAGAGCAATAAAAAATAATACTACCATTAGAAAAATCACAATTAAATATCAGCTCTGCAGGAATCGAGGAGTAAGTAACATGAAAATCAATGCACGCGCACACGCGCCCGCAGACACACACAAACAATAATGATAGTTGGACTATAGGCTTCTTAAATCTTAAGTTTCTATAAAAAGATTTGAAAAAAATGACATTTGATCTAATTGATACGGAATATAATTGTAAATTAATAAAATAATTCACGTTGCTGAGAGCAATGAAATCACAGGATCGTAATATATATATATATATATGTATAGTCAAAGGATCCCAATTACTGATTCACGTGGTATGATTAAAATGGAATCTAAATAAAAAACTAATCATTGGAAACATTATATAGTTTGGAGCCTTTACACTTCAAACACACACACACACACACACACACACACACACACAAGAGAGAGAGAGAGAGAGAGAGAGAGAGAGATGAAGCAGGGAAAGGCGGTGGTGGTGGGAGGGAGCATAGCAGGGATGTCATGCGCACACGCGCTGTCGGCAGCAGGGTGGGAAGTGGTGGTGCTGGAGAAGACCATGTCTGCTCCAACTAGCTGCACCACCGGAGCTGGACTCGGGCTCGATAAGCTCTCCCACAAACTCATCCAACCATGGCTTAAACAACCTGAAAAGCTCGACGTCATGACATTACCGCTGACTGTTGAGTATGTAAGTATAATCTTCTCATATATATATATATATATATATGTAGACACACACACACACACACACACACACACACACACACACACACACACACACACACACACACACGCACACACGCATCAAAATGGACATGAAATCTTCATACATTGTCCCGTGTTTTTTTTTTTGGAAGGATCAAGCAACAGATGTGAACAAGAACATTAGTAGGACACTGGCAAGAGACCCGAGTTTCAATTTCAAAGTAGTGCACTGGTCCGATCTCCATAGGCTTCTGTACGAGTCCTTACCGCCGGAGGTTGTTCTCTTGTGGGGACACTTCTTCTTATCCTTGTCCATTTCTGAAGATAAAAGTTCGGTCAAAGTGGTAGCTAAGCTTCTTCAAACCGACGAAACTGTCGAGATAGTTGCCGATCTTCTTGTCGCAGCTGATGGTAGCCTCTCTCCTATACGAAAACATTTTCTCCCTGATCACAAACTCAGGTATTATATCAAACCAACTATATAAACAAGTCTTTGCTAATTACAGTAGAACCTCGATAAATTAATAAACTCGACTCGGTGAAAACATGTTAAATTATTAACTCGATAAGTTAATAATTCACTAAATTAATAGAATTTCCCTAGTCCCGACTGTATTAATTTATAGAGGTTTAGCTGTAGATGTTTTGTTGTGGCTAATTGTATTCTAGCTTTTTCTACTTTTCTATTCTAACATATTCGATTCTGAATAAGTTTGAGATAAACCATCTTTTTCATTATAGATATTCGGGTTATTGTGCATGGAGAGGGGTAATCGATTATTCAGACAACGAGAACTCAGAAACACTAAAGGCAATCAAGAAAGCGTACCTTGATCTCGGTAACTCTTGTTATTTCGACTTAGGCTCAGAAGGGCATGTTGTCTTTCACGAGTTAATCAACCGAAGGTTCAATTGGGTTTGGTATCTCAATCAAGAAGAGCCTCGTTTTGAGGTAGCATATAAATACTTACATATTCCGCTCCCATTATACTCTTTATTACTTATATTTATTCAAATCATTAAAACTCAGGGAAATTCGCTCACAACAAAAGTTAGCCAAGACATGATTGAAGAAATGTACGAATTAGCAGAGAAAGTATGGATACCTGAACTGGTGAAAGTAATGCGAGAAACGAAAGACCCCTTTCTGAACGCGATATACGATAGCGAGCCATTAGAGCAGTTGTATTGGAACAATAACGTGGTTCTGATTGGAGATGCAGCTCACCCTATAACGCCTCACAGTGCGAGAGCCACCAACATGTCGATACTCGATGCTGCAGTGTTGGGCAAATGCCTCGAGAAGTGGGGCCCCGAGAATCTTGGCTCGGCCCTCGAAGAGTATCAGTCTATCAGGCTGCCGGTTGCTAAAGAGCAAGTTCTTTACTCACGACGATCGGGCCGTATAAAACAACGTTTACCTGTCTCTGGTCGGGAGATATTTGATCCTATGACAGCAAGTGAAGAAGAAAGCAAAGTGCTGCAGATAAGGAATACACCTTATTTCAATGTTATGCCATCCATTTTGATGTAATAAGTGCGGACCACCCTCTGGATGTGTATTCCCAGCAGGAGTTTTCTTATCTGTGTGTTTCAATTATCAATAAACATGTGTCCGAGTAATGTTGTCTTCATTACGAGAATTTTAACCTGATGCAATAGTCAAATAATTGAGTCCTCAGAATTTGAGAGTAAGTGAAAATCAAATTCGACACTGGCTAATTCAGAGGAAAAAAACAAAAGATCTATTACCGGTGTCGCTATTCCAATGTCGGACCACATTTTGCAGGCCTAATTGTTCCCACGTGATTGATATTCACCAAACATCTTCTCTCGTCTAACTAATTGTGATTATAAAGTAATTGCCTCCGAAAAAGGCAAAGAAACACAATTATTCCAGCATCTTCTCTCGTCTAACTAATTGTGATTATAAAGTAATTGCCTCCGAAAAAGGCAAAGAAACACACACACACACACACACCGAGAGATGATTGAGAAGCAGAAAAAGGGGAAGGCGGTGATTGTGGGCGGCAGCATAGCGGGGATTTGCTGTGCGCACGCACTGATTGCCGCCGGATGGGAAGTGGTGGTGGTGGAGAAGACCACCTCCGCCCTAACTGGCTGCTCCACAGGTGCCGGAATTGGACTCGATACAGTGTCTCTCAAACTCATTCCCAAATGGATTAAACCACCACATCTCCTTCAGCATATCACCATGCCCATGACCATTGACCACGTAAGTCTTATCTATTACCGACTAATTTCTCCTCCACAAAAATGGATGTAATAAGAAATGAGTTCTTTCATTACAGGAACAAGCAACAGATGCAGAAACCAAGATTACTCGAACACTGACAAGAGACGAAGATTATAACTACACAGCAGCACACTGGGCTGATCTCCATACCCTTCTCCACAAATCTTTACCACCGGAAGTTGTTGTTCTGTGGGGACACTCTTTCCTCTCCTTCTCCATATCTGAAGACAAAAGCTCAGTCAAAGTGGCGGCAAAAGTCCTCAAAACTGATGAAACTGTCGATATTGTCGGTGATCTTCTTGTCGGTGCTGACGGTTGCCATTCTTCAGTTCGTAAATGTTTTCTTCCTCACCACAAACTCAGGTACTATCAATCTACCAACTTATATACATATATGCATATAGATGATGAAATAAACCATATTTGTCATTATAGATATTCCGGCTACTGTGCGTGGAGAGGGGTCCTCGATTATTCGAAAAATCAGAACTCGGAAACAGTAAAGCAAATCAAGAAGGCATACCCTGATCTGGGAAACTGCGATTATTTCGATTTGGGTTCGGAAGGGCATGCCATTCTTTATGAATTAATCAACAAAAGGATCAACTGGATTTGGTATCTCAATCAACAAGAGCCAGATTTGAAGGTAAATAACATGTTCAATTACTTACGGTATTAATAAATCACATACTTTGATGATCAACATCAAAAACACCACAGGGAAACTCGCTCACAACAAAAGTAGGCCGCGACATGATCGAGAATATGTACGAAGCAGCGGAGAAAGTATGGATACCTGAACTGGTGAAGCTGATGCGAGACACAAAAGAGCCCTTTTTGAATGCGATATATGACAGCGAGCCGTTAGAGCGGCTGTATTGGGACAATGTGGTTCTTGTGGGAGATGCGGCTCACCCGATAACTCCTCACGGTGCAAGAGCAACAAACATGTCGGTGCTTGATGCTGCAGTGCTGGGCAAGTGCCTCGAGAAGTGGGGTCCGGAGAATCTTGGCTCGGCTCTCGAAGAGTATCAGTCGATTAGGTTACCGGTGGCTAGAGAGCAAGTTCTTTTCTCGAGGAGATTGGGGCAGATAAAGCAGCGTCTGCCCATTTCTGATCGGGAGTTCTTCGATCCAATGGCGGCGAGTTCGGAAGAAAGCAAAGATCTGCAGCTTGGGGGTATGCCTTATTTCAATGATATTCCATCCATACTGATGTGATGGTGTTTTCTACAGTATGAAATATTCAATAAATGTGTACCAAATAACACATGAGAACAAACTTTGATCTTCATGGAGTAAAATTGCAAGTTCTATGAACAAATTAGATCAGTTCTCAGTAAAATTCAAAAATTTTATCTCTGTTTCATATAACGGGAAAAAAGCAAAAAACTCTTATTTTTGGAGAATGTAAACAAAAAAAAAAATTAAAAATCGGAAATTACACTAACCCTAAGATTTTGATTTCGAACGATTACCAAACTAATTGCGCACTCATAATTGAAACTCGGATTGAAAATCGAGTGGGAAATTATTCAAGAGCGAGAGAGAACATGAAACAGTTGAAAGCGATTCAAATCATACCTGGAAGCACCTCTTATCTCCATTCCTCCATTCTCTGATAGTCAAAGATTTTTCGCGTGGATTTATATTTTATATTCAAACTCAACAAAATCATTTGATTAAAATAATTGGATTCACGCAAAAAGCCTTGGCTACAGAGCTGAATCGAGAGGAGTGGGGATCGGAGGAGTCCGGGTCGACGTGGACCGGATTCAGCAGGTAAAGGTTCTCTCTGGTTCTCCGTGTTTCGTCGGAGAAGAAGACTGCATCCCCTAATTGCAATTATCGAGATCATTAACTCTAAATTAGGGCGGCATTTGCCTCCGGTTCCTTTTGTCAAGTTCTTAGTTTTTTGTTCTTAGTTATTAGCTTAAGTATTTCTGTTACATGCATAATTATCAGTGTTGATCAGGGCTTCACTCTTCTTTCTCCACACAGCACAACTTTGTTTTGTTCAATAATATAATCTATCACCAGGTTTTATTCTCATGATTTTCATCTACTCGTCGGGCCGGGCCGGAAAACCCGTATATATCTTGTATTATTCTTTTATTCTTATAAATTCATAAACATTTTCCTAATAGAACATCAGAAGTAGAGAGCTAAAAATCGACATTTTTTTAATTAATTAGTGACCGTTGTGACACAAATCGATCAATTATCCTAAAACTTGTTCGTGCATGCGTGCTCGTTATGTTAATTAATTGATCGATTTTTGTTTCCATATATAAATGTAGCTAGACATGATTCAGGTTTCGTTTCGACTAAATATGCGATCCTTCATATATTTACTCGATAACTAAATTCCGGCTGGTTCATTTTATATCACAGCATAAACCCTAATGATCATTTAACAAACAATCTAATATATTATTATTGCATATTAAATCTAATCTTAATATGATCATTCATATAATATAATTATATTTGAGTTTAACAAACAGGTCATGAGAAATTCATTTCCCAGTAATTATGGAGGTGGTTTCTCTCATGCTAACCGATAAAAACACCGCTTATATTCGTCACAAAATAAGCCTACGAATCACACCCGAAGAAAAACCGGTACAAAGTTTTAATTCCGATCCATTACTAAACCCGTGCCGCCAGGTCAGTTCAGCCCTCTATCGGTTCTTGACCGATTAAATAACGAAAACAGTAATATCCGGCTAGTGTTCTACTACAGTTTTCCGGCCAGAAAAACGGCCGGAGAACTGACAGATAAGCTCCGGGAGTCGATCTCCGATATGCTGTCGTATTTTCCGATGGTCACAGGGCGGCTGCTGAGGACTTCCGACGGAGACTGGACTGTCAAATGCAACGACGCTGGCTTAAGAATGGTGGAAGCGAAAGTAATGAAGGGAAGTGTCGAAAAATGGCTGCGAAATGTTGATAGAAAAAAGGAACTGAAGCTTGTTCATTGGGAGGAAATGTTTTACAAACCCTATTTCTGGTCTACTTTTTACGTTCAGGTATATACAGTTAAACCTCTTTAAATTAATACAGTCGGGTTTGCGAAATTCTATTAATTTAGCTAAATATCAAATTATCGAACTACTGATTTAATATGTTTTCACCTAATCGATCGGAACCGGGAGAAATTATTATTTAGGCGAGGTTATTAATTTATCGAGGTTCTGCTTTACGTATTTATTTGTTATTATATACAATCAATTGTATAGACTCGTTTTCTCGTGTCTGAATTTTCGATTGGCAGATAACCGAATTCGAAGGCGGTGGGCTAGCGATTGGTTTGAGCTGCACTCGTCTACTCAGTGATCCCATCTGTGCAACAATGATGATCAAAGCATGGGCAGATACAACCCTAATCGGCGAAATTACATCCCCGCCCCTATTCCGTCTGTTGCCGGTACCAAACCGAAACACCAACCACCACTCTTCTTCTTTAATCGACCGCCACAAATCATACTTAACCTCATCTCCAGTTCCAAAATCAGACAGCAACACAAAACAAATCACAACCATCACTCTTCAGTTCAATCAAGAAACGGTTAAAAAATTATGCATCGCCATGGTGAACGATGTGAACGGTCGCGGGCCGGGCCCCACGCCGTTCCAGGCCTTGGCCGGGCTTTTCTGGACATGCATCAGCAGAGCGAAGGGAATGAAACGAGGTTTGGTTGACATGTCGGTGTGTTTGGACATGCGAAAAGCGTTGGGATTGGACAAGGGCTTTTTCGGAAACTCCAAGCGTTGGGATTGGACAAGGGCTTTTTCGGAAACTCCATGGTGTACAATAAGGTAGTAGTACTACTGCATGGGGATGATTATCATTATCATGGTAATTGTGAAGTGTTGTCCGATGCGGTTGTTTCGATCAAAGAGGCGGTATCGGGAATGGACGGTGGAGATCATGTGATGGAGTTGATCGAGTGGTTGGAAAGCGAATAGATTAATCGTAATTCGTTGGTGATTAGTGGATGCGATGATGATCATTTGATTTGTGTTGATTTAGAGAATGTGGATTGTTATTCTGCGGTTTTTGAGGAAAATGTGGTGCCGATTCGTGTTTCGTACTACATGGACGGCCCGGGTGTGGGGGCCGGGCAGATACTTGTCATGCCGGCGCCAGGTGGCGGTGATGGGCCAGAGAGTCGGGTGGTGGCGGTGACACTTCCGGAAGATGAAGCCGAGAAGGTTCTCGAAGATTCTTTGATCCGGCAACTTGGTCCGATTACTTTGATGGGGTTGAACAAAAACCCTAATTAATCAATTAATTTTATCTGCACAAGATTATATGTTATCATTAGCTTTCATTTATCAATTTCAATTTATTATTATTTATTTTGTGGTAAATCATTTTGCTGCAATTGAATGAACTTATTTAGTACCAAAGAGATGTTAAACCAGATTAATTAAGACCGTGACAAGAGAGAGAGAGAGGGAGAACTTCAGATTAGTAAAATAAAATTTGTTAAATCAAAATAATTAGAGAAATTGTTTTTGATTAAATGAATGATATTTATAAATGCGTCTGCCGGGAGACGAACCCGGGTCTATTGCTTGGAAGGCAATTATCCTAACCGTTGGACTACAAACGCTTTGCTGAACGTTTATAACGATTAAATATTATAACTATTTTCTCAACATTATTATTACTTTTTCATATTTTCAGTTAATTACAGGGTTAACTGATTAATTATAACGATTTCCTTTTTCATTGCGACAAATAGTAAATACATGAGGCCATGCATGCAAATTAATTGTTTTGCTAAGCTAGGACTTGGATGTAATATCAAGAACATTTAATTACCATTATCATGTTTTGTACAGCGCGCTACTTGAACAATTATAGAGTTTGTCTGTATAATTAATTAAACAAACATTAAAAGATTCTCAGTTGTCAGCTAGACTTTTTTTATACCAGACAATATAAATATATGGTCACAAGTTAAGGATGCAAATTGTAATTATGGAAAAGTTCTGGGGAGCCCCGTTACTAATTCAAAAGTTGATATAAATTAAAATATTTAATAATGAAAATGAAGTTTGAAATTTAGGAACCAGCTGTGTGTAACTCTGCACATGGACACAATATATTAGACTATTAGTAGACGTGTGTACCACTAAATCAAGATAATCAATTTCATTTATTTATGTTAGTCACGTTCACTTTAATTTGGACCGACAAATCTACTTAGGAATTATGATTCAATGGCATTTTACTACAGTTTGATGTGATTAATTGAGGGGTAGATGTAATTATCCAAACAAGAGGGGGTTTTCTGTAATTTGACCATACCTCAGGGGGGTGTTTGTAATTTACCCTTATTATTATTATTATTATTATTATTATTATTATTATTATTATTATTATTATTATTATTATTATTATTATTATTATTATTATTATTATTATTATTATTATTATTATTATTATTATTATTATTATTATTATTATTATTATTATTATTATTATTATTATTATTATTATTTATTTATTTTATGTTTTTCTAACCATTATCTTCTATAGGTAATATTTGGAGCGGAGCAGAAGCAAAAATATCTTTACACCTTACCCGATTTTTCGAAACGTTCTTCGATTTTAATGATGAAGATGAAATCTACTTAGGAATTATGATTCAATGGCATTTTACTGCAGTTTGATGTGATTAATTGATGATCGGGCTTTTGAGATCCTACACCGGGTGAAATACACCGGGTAGATCTTTACCATTCATATACACACAAACACACACACACCCACATTGGTATGTGTAGATCAATGGTAAAACATCACCCGGTGTAACCTTCACCGGGTGTAGGATAGATAAAACCTTGATGATCGTTGATTAACAAATTAATTAAATGTAATTAATTAAGGTTCAGATCATTAATATGGTTATTCCAAATCAATATTGCAATAATAATTAACCCAACACATAAGTTGTCCAACTCTCTGCATGCATGATTTTGCAATTTTAATTTAACAGAACATTAATAAGTTTGGCATTGATCGGATAGATTTTTACCATCCATAAACACACAAATATAATTAAACGGACGTGGGACATCTAATATTGGTGTAGATCAACGGTCAAATAGTCGATAACATGATTAATTTTTTTTTTTTTTTCCGATTTGGTAATTTGTGACCTATGTACTTACATCATTCTATGATCAAACACTTGACATTTTTTTTTTATTTTTTTTCCAATAAATCATAATAATTCAAGAAGCCGCCTAGAAAATTCAAATAAATAAAGTGCAGAAATGTAAGCAATGGTCAATCACAAAACTTCATACCAATTACATTCAAGTATATTATTTCAGATATATATATATATATATATATATATATATATATATATATATATATATATATATATATATATATATATATATATATATATATATATATATATATATATATATATATATATATATATATATATATATTAGTAAGTTTATTTTAAATTAGTGGTCTTAGCTTCTTGACATCTTCGTCACCTTTATCTTTTAACAGTATAAGTATTTAAATTAAAAAATAATAATTTAAAGTAACTCTAAATTAATATCATGATAAGTGATTTATGTTTCTCTAGGGTCACACAATTCTTTCCGGTTTCCTTTAGATATGCAAATTTGGGTTGCATTTTGACCCTGAAAATATCATGAATTGGCGTTTTGCACACTTCAATTTTCAAATTGGCAAATTTCACCCTTAAATCGCGCATATAATTTTCAATGGGATTTTACTACAGTTATATATATATATATATATATATATATATATATATATATATATATATATATATATATATATAAAATAATAATTTAAAAAAAAAAAAAACCAAGTACAGTAGTGCTTACCATGTGAGAGAGGGTTATATTTTAAATATATTCTCCAGTTGGCCTTTTAATATCATACAGATAAATTCAAAACGAAAATGCTATTTGCGGTCACAAAATTGATATTCGCGGTTTATAACAAAACCCCTCAAAACTTTTAAAAATATCAAAAAAACTCCCCAAAACTGCAAATAGCAAAAAAACAAAAAAAAAAAAAAATTGAAAATTCAAAATCAAGCTTGAAGAAGGGTTGGGCTTCGATTTTTTGATGTAATTTCGACTCTTTTATGTGTAACATGCATTGGGTAGGTCGATTACGGAACCAATTTCATGTTAAAAAGCCCTACAAATCAATTTATAGGGCTTTTTTTTCGCAAAAAAATGTTTGAACGCCCGTTCCGGGCGGTTCGTACACGCCTTGGGCGCCCATCTTGGGCGTTCGAACATTTAAAAAAAAAAAAAAAAAATTTTGCACTGCACGCCCAACTCGGGCGCCCAAATGCAGCTTGCACGCCCAACTTGGGCGTGCACTGCATGAATGGGCGCCCAAGTTGGGCGTTTACGCGTTTTGGGGGGTGTTTTTGGATTTTTTTGGAAAGTTTTTGGATTTTAGTGAAATAAAGTGTTTTTTTGGGGAGTTTTGTTAGAAATCGCAAATAGCAATTTTCAAACCGCAAAAAGAAAGTCCACAAAGGTGCCAGTTGAATTATGCACATCCCTTTTCATTCGTCCGTGTGCCCCCTCCACCCTATTAGAAGTGTACGTTCCAAAATGAGTACACTTATTTGTCCACACCGATACAAGTCTCTCCTTGTACGGATCCAACCATGAATTAGCTACATATGCTATAGCCGGGGGATAACCGATAAATGTTCTTTTCATTGACTCCCAATCCTCATTGAACTCCTCTATGGTATTTCTTTCAATAAGAGCCGAAAAAACCGACTGAAATTGCTTCCATTTGGTGATGTCATTTATGAACAATTTCTTACAATTGGCCAATATATTCTTGTTGACATGCCACCGACACAGCAAGTGATGACTCGATGGATACACATTGGTCACTGCTTTCATTAAACCCAAATCTCGATCTGTTACAATGCAATTAGGCCGATGACAACTGGTCATGGCGTCCTTCAAATAACGCAACGCCCATTCGAAATTTACCGTTTTTTCGTGATCCAAGTATGCAAAGGCAATGGAGAACGTCTTGTTGGTACAAGTAAAACCTACAATCTCAAGAAATGGGAGTCCGTAACGATTGGTCTTGTACGTGCAATCGATGACGAATACGTACGGATACGACTGTGCCAACTTAATGCATTTGGGGTGGATCCACAACAAGTCAGTAATCGCATTCAACTCGTTCGATCTATGGTACGAGAGGTATTCATCTTCTTTCAACTTGACGAACAATGATTGCAATTGAGATCTCCCAGACAATTCACTGAAATTTAACTTAGAGATAGTATTGTAAATTACCTTCATACCAGTTACATTAGACGGGTCCTTTTCCTTCAATAATCTTAGAATTGCCCTTGGTTTCACCATTGTTTTCTTCATAGTGAGAACAAAGGAAGTCTGCTCCTTTGATAATCTTCCAGCATAAGAGTGTCCCTGCAAATTTTCAAACAAGTTGTGGTTGTGAATACCACTATAAACATCCAATTTCCACTCAGCCTTTTCATCATCCTTGTGTTCTTTTGTCCCCTTCAATTTAAATGGACAATTGCATTTCTTTGAACCGATGCTCTTTTTTCCCGGTCTTTGATCATCTTCACCTGGTACCTTCTTGCCAACATAATGGCCCCCACGCTCACAACGAACAATCACATACGGTGTCCTACATCCTCTATCCCCGTCACTCGAACCCGCAATCATTAACACCATTCCAATTCTTTTACATACTTCACGAACCCATGTCAATAAAACTTCTTTTGTTGGGAATTTTTCTGACGTGGTAAATGAATTGTGCAATCGATCTACACAAAAGTGTCGAAAATATAAGACAAGTACATTTGCAACAGGAAAAAAATCGACACCTAAGTGTCGAAAATGACCCAACTTTTTGACACTTAAGTGACGAAAATAGAGGTCAGTTTCAACACTTAAGTGTCGAAAATATGGGTCATTTTCGACACTTAGGTGTCGAAAATTGTAGCAAAATTCGACACTTAGGTGTCGAAACTGAATAAAATATCAATTGTTATGTTTTTCGACACATACATGTCGAAAACTAAGCATATTTTCGACCTGTATGTGTCGAAAATTGATGGCGAATTTAAAAAAAAAAATCAAAATCGATGTTTTAGCTCAAAAAATACATGAATACATACCTTAATGGGTTCTCCTTGCTCTTAAACTACCGTTCTATTGTCATTTGATGCCATTTTGCAAGTTGTGTAAGGTTTTGATTTCTTTTGTTTTGAGGTTTTTTAGGAGGGTTTTTGGGGAGGGAGAAGAAGGAGGTGGAGGAGGTGAGGGGTTTGTGAGTGAGGAGGGAAATGTTTTTTTTAGGGTTTTTGATTATTTGGTATTTAAGAAAGAAAAATAGTATTTATAATATTGTTTTGGTTTTAATTTTCATTAAGGGCATTAAAGTAATTTACAATTAATTATTTATTTTTTATTTTTTTGGTATTGAAGTAAGCAAAAGTTGGGATTTGAAATAGTGATCCCAAATTGATACGAAATTATGAAATGGAACGATGGAATTTGTCGTGTGACTATTAAAGCTCCGCATTGTGTTATTCTGAAAGGTTCTGAAATCAGAGCAATTTCACAATTAAATTATCAGCTTCTGAAGGAATCGTCGAGAAAGTAACAAGGTATAGTTTCTAGCTTCCATGCTTAATTAATCTGTCAAAAGTCAACACAAACACACACACACACAGCAATAATGATAGTTAGGCTATGCTATTTGATCTAACTGATATGGAATAAATGATGAGATAATACTCGTTCCTGATAGTAAACGATCATAATGCATATGTGTATAATGCAAACGATCGTAATGCATATATGAGTAATGCAAAACACACTATCAAGGAATCCCAATTTAAGCTTTGAATTAGCTGCTGGAGTCAAGGAGAAACCACACACACACGCGCGCACGCGCACACACACACACACACAGATGAAGGGAAAGGCGGTGATTGTGGGCGGGAGCATAGCGGGGATTTCCTGTGCACACGCACTGATTGCCGCCGGTTGGGAGGTGGTGGTGCTGGAGAAGACTACCGCCGCCCCAACTGGCTGTGCCACCGGTGCTGGACTTGGACTCGATACAGTGTCTTTCAAACTCATTCAGCCATGGATTAAACAACCCGAAGTACTCGATCGTATGACATTGCCGTTGACTGTTGAGTATGTAAGTATTATAAATTCAAATAAACAGATCACAATTTTCTCCTTCATAATACAATTGAGTACGTGTTGATTATTATTAGGAACAAGCAACAGATGGGAGCAAGAATAGTACTCGAACGCTTGCAAAAGACCCGAATTTCAATTTCAAAGTAGTGCACTGGTCTGATCTACATAGGCTTCTGTACGAATCCTTACCATCCGAGGTTGTTCTATGGGGGCACTTGTTCTTGTCCTTGTCCATGTCTGAAGATAAAAGTTCTGTCAAAGTGGTCGCTAAATTACTCCAAACCAATGAAACTGTCGAGATAGTTTGCGATCTTCTTGTTGGAGCTGATGGCAGCCTTTCTTCTGTACGAAAACATTTTCTTCCCGATCACAAACTCAGGTATTATATTTAATTGTGTTGTACCGACTTATATATGTATGTATATATTATATAGCTGTTTCTATGTAATAAACCACCTTCCTTTTCATTATAATAGATATTCGGGTTACTGTGCATGGAGAGGGGTAATCGATTATTCAGACAATGAAAACTCGGAAACACTAAAGGCAATCAAGAAGGCATACCTTGATCTCGGCAAATCTTGTTATTTCGACTTGGGTTCGGAAGGGCATGTTGTCCTTCACGAGCTAATCAACCGAAGGATCAATTGGGTTTGGTATCTTAATCAACAAGAGCCCACTTTTGAGGTATTTAAAATAAAAAACTTTCATTCTTCGTTCGAAAATCAAAATCAACTACCATTTAATCTTCTTCTCATCTTATATATTGATTCAGAGGAATTCGCTCACCACAAAAGTTAGCCACGAAATGATCGAGAATATGTATGAACTAGCAGAGAAAGTGTGGATACCTGAACTGGTGAAAGTAATGCGAGAAACGAAAGAGCCCTTTCTGAACGCGATATACGATAGTGAGTCGTTAGGGCAGTTGTACTGGAACAACAATGTGGTTCTGATAGGAGATGCAGCTCATCCGATAACTCCTCACGGTGCAAGAAGCACAAACATGTCGATACTCGATTCTGCAGTGCTGGGCAAATGCCTCGAGAAGTGGGGCCCACAGAATCTGGGCCCGGCCCTCGAAGAATATCAGTCTATTAGGCTGCCAGTGGCTAAAGAGCAAGTTCTCTTCTCGCGAAGATTGGGCCGTATAAAGCAGCGTTTGCCCGTTTCTGGTCATGAGATATTCGATCCTACGACAGCGAGTGAAGAAGAATGCAAAGTGCTGCAGCTGAAAAACATACCTTATCACAATGGTATGCCATCCATATTGATGTGATGTGACAGTGTATACCTTATTTCGACGATGGTACGTTGTTCATTTAAATTATGGACTATATATATAATAAGATGCTCGATTCGACACTACCGTCAATAAAACGTTTCGTATTTTCTTTGTAACCGATTTATCCTTAATTTGATTGATTTTTCGTGTTGGATCATTGTCTGGTCTACTTTGGATCGATTATGGGTCCTGTCAAAATTAGATCTGGTCCAACAATTTGCCACACCAACCCACAATTAAGGCTCACATGCTATTGTTCTGAAATGTTTAGAAATCAGAGCAATAAAAAATAATACTACCATTAGAAAAATCACAATTAAATATCAGCTTCTGCAGGAATCGAGGAGTAAGTAACATGAAAATTAATGCACGCGCGCACACACACACAAACAATAATGATAGTTAGACTAGAGGCTTCTTAAATCTCAAGTTTTCTGTAAAAAGATTTGAAAAAAATGACATTTGATCTAATTGATACGGAATAAAATTATAAATTATTATAAATTAATAAAATAATGCACGTTGATGAGAGCAATGAAATCACAGGATCATAATGTATATATGAATAGTCAAACGATCCCAATTACTGATTCACGTGGTATTATTAAAAATACTTCTAATTAAAAAAACTAATCATTGGAAACATTATATAGTTTGGAGCCTTTACACTTCAAAAACACACACACACACACAAGAGAGAGAGAGAGAGAGAGAGAGAGAGAGAGAGAGAGAGAGAGAGAGAGAGAGAGAGAGAGAGAGAGAGAGATGAAGCAGGGAAAGGCAGTGGTGGTGGGAGGGAGCATAGCAGGGATGTCGTGCGCGCACACGCTAGCGGCAGCAGGGTGGGAAGTGGTGGTGCTGGAGAAAACCATGTCTGCTCCAACTAGCTGCACCACCGGAGCTGGACTCGGACTCGATAAGCTCTCCCACAAAATCATCCAACCATGGCTTAAACATCCCGAAACGCTCGACCTCATGACATTGCCATTGACCGTCGAGTATGTAAGTACAATCTTCTCATATATATATATACACGCACACACGCATCAAAATGGACATGAAATCTTCATACAGCTAAAACCTCTATAAATTAATACAGTCGTGTCTAGGTAAATTCTATTCATTTAGCGAATTATTAAACTATCGAGTTAATAATTTAACACGTTTTCACCAAGTCGGGAGCGAGAGAAACTATTATTTAATCGAGGTTATTAATTTATCTCGAGTATTAATTTATCGAGGTTCTGCTGTACATCGTCCCGTGTTTTTTATTTTAAGGATCAAGCAACAGATGTGGACAAGAACATTAGTCGGACACTGGCAAGAGACCCGAGTTTCAATTTCAAAGTAGTGCACTGGTCCGATCTCCATAGGCTTCTTTACGAGTCCTTACCGCCGGAGGTTGTTCTCTTGTGGGGCCACTTCTTCTTATCCTTGTCGATTTCCGAAGATAAAAGTTCGGTCAAAGTGGTAGCTAAGCTCCTCCAAACCGACGAAACTGTCGAGATAGTTGCCGATCTTCTTGTCGCAGCTGATGGTAGCCTCTCTCCTATACGAAAACATTTTCTCCCTGATCACAAACTCAGGTATTATATCAAACCAACTATATAAACAAGTCTTTGCTAATTACATGTTTTCTTCTGCTAATTGTGTTCTAGCTTTTTCTACTTCTCTATTCTTACATATTCGATTCTGAATAAGTTTGAGATAAACCATCTTGTTCACTATAGATATTCGGGTTATTGTGCATGGAGAGGTGTAATCGATTATTCAGACAACGAGAACTCAGAAACACTAAAGGCAATCAAGAAGGCTTACCTTGATCTCGGTAACTCTTGTTATTTCGACTTAGGCTCAGAAGGGCATGTTGTCTTTCATGAGTTAATCAACCGAAGGTTCAATTGGGTTTGGTATCTCAATCAAGAAGAGCCTCGTTTCGAGGTATTATATAAATACTTACATATTCCGCTCCGATTGTACTCTTCATTAATTATATTTATTCAAATCAATTAAACTCAGGGAAATTCACTCACAACAAAAGTTAGCCAAGACATGATTGAGAATATGTACGAATTAGCAGAGAAAGTTTGGATACCTGAACTGGTGAAAGTGATGCGAGAAACGAAAGACCCGTTTCTGAACGCGATATACGATAGCGAGCCATTAGAGCAGATTTATTGGAACAATGTGGTTCTGATTGGAGATGCAGCTCACCCTATAACGCCTCACAGTGCAAGAGCCACCAACATGTCGGTACTCGATGCTGCAGTGTTGGGCAAATGCCTAGAGAAGTGGGGCCCGCAGAATCTTGGCTCGGCCCTCGAAGAGTATCAGTCTATCAGGCTGCCGGTTGCTAAAGAGCAAGTTCTTTACTCACGAAGATCGGGCTGCATAAAACAACGCTTACCTGTCTCTGGTCGGGAGATATTTGATCCTATGACAGCAAGTGAAGAAGAAAGCAAAGTGCTGCAGATAAGGAATACACCTTATTTCAATGTTATGCCATCCATTTTGATGTAATAAGTGTGGGGCACCCTCTGGATGTGTATTCCCAGCACGAGTTTTCTTATCTGTGTGTTTCAACTATCAATAAATATGTGTCAAATAATTGAGTCCATGTAAAATTTCTCAGAATTTGAGAGTAAGCGAAAACCAAATTCGACACTGCCTAATTCAGAGACAAAAAAACAAAAGATCTATTACCGGTGTCGCTATTCCAATTTCGGACCACATTTTGCAGGCCTAATTGTCCCCACGCGTGATTGACATTGCACCAAACATCTATAATTGGACAATTATTCCAGCATCTTCTCTCGTCTAACTAATTGTTATTATAAAGTAATTGCCATCCGAAAAAGGCAAACAAACACACACACGCACAAAGAGATGATTGAGAACCGGAAAAAGGGGAAGGCGGTGATTGTGGGCGGCAGCATAGCGGGGATTTGCAGTGCGCACGCACTGATTGCCGCCGGATGGGAAGTGGTGGTGGTGGAGAAGACCACCTCCGCCCTAACTGGCTGCTCCACCGGTGCCGGAATTGGACTCGATACAGTGTCTATCAAACTCATTCCCAAATGGATTAAACCACCTCATCTCCTTCAGCATATCACCATGCCCATGACCATTGACCATGTAAGTCTTATCTATTATCGACTAACAACAAAAATGGATGTAATAAGAAAATGAGTTTCTTTCATTACAGGAACAAGCAACAGATGCGGAAACCAAGATTACTCGAACACTGACACGAGACGAACATTATAACTACACAGCAGCACACTGGGCTGATCTCCATAGCCTTCTCCATAAATCTTTACCACCGGAAGCTGTTGTTCTGTGGGGACACTCTTTCCTCTCATTTTCCATATCTGAAGACAAAAGCTCAGTCAAAGTGTTGACTAAGGTTCTCAAAACCGACGAAACTGTCGAAATTGTCGGTGATCTTCTTGTCGGTGCTGACGGTTGCCGTTCTTCAGTTCGTAAATGTTTTCTTCCTCACCACAAACTCAGGTACTATTCAATCTAACAACTTATATACATACATATATTAATATACATGTAGATGTTGAAATAAACGATATTTGTTATTATAGATATTCAGGCTACTGTGCGTGGAGAGGGGTCCTCGATTATTCGAAAAATCAGAACTCGGAAACAGTAAAGCAACTCAAGAAGGCATACCCTGATCTGGGAAACTGCGATTATTTCGATTTGGGTTCGGAAGGGCATGCTATTCTTTACGAATTAATCAACAAAAGGATCAACTGGATTTGGTATCTCAATCAACAAGAGCCAGATTTGAAGGTAAATAACATGTTCGTTCAACTACTTACGGTATTAAAAAATCACATATATTTGATGATCAAGAGCAAAATCACCTCAGGGAAACTCGCTCACAACAAAAGTAAGCCGCGACATGATCGAGAATATGTACGAAGCAGCGGAGAAAGTGTGGATACCTGAACTGGTGAAGCTGATGCGAGACACAAAAGAGCCCTTCTTGAATGCGATATACGACAGCGAGCCGTTAGAGCGGTTGTATTGGGACAATGTTGTTCTTGTGGGAGATGCGGCTCACCCGATAACTCCTCACGGTGCAAGAGCAACAAACATGTCGGTGCTTGATGCTGCAGTGCTGGGCAAGTGCCTCGAGAAGTGGGGTCCGGAGAATCTTGGCTCGGCTCTCGAAGAGTATCAGTCGATTAGGTTACCAGTGGCTAGAGAGCAAGTTCTTTTCTCAAGGAGATTGGGGCAGATAAAGCAGCGTCTGCCCATTTCTGATCGGGAGTTCTTCGATCCAATGGCGGCGAGTTCGGAAGAAAGCAAAGATCTGCAGCTTGGGGGTATGCCTTATTTCAATGATATTCCATCCATACTGATGTGATGGTGTTTTCTACAGTATGAAATATTCAATAAATGTGTACCAAATAACACATGAGAAAAAATATTCGATCTTCATGGATTAAAATTGCCAGTTCTATGAACAAATTAGATCAGTTCTCAGTAAAATTCAAAAATTTTATCTCTGTTTCATATAACGTGAAAAAAGCAAAAAACTCTTATTTTTGGAGAATGTAAACAAAAAAAAAATTAAAAATCGGAAATTACACTAACCCTAAGATTTTGATTTCGAACGATTACCAAACTAATTGCGCACTCATAGTTGAAACTCGGACTGAAAATCGAGTGGGAAATTATTCAAGAGCGAGAGAGAACATGAAACAGTTGAAACCGATTCAAATCATACCTGGAAGCACCTCTTATCTCCATTCCTCCATTCTCTGATAGTCAAAGATTTTTCGCGTGGATTTATATTTTATATTCAAACTCAACAAAATCATTTGATTAAAATACTTGGATTCACGCAAAAAGCCTTGGCTACAGAGCTGAATCGAGAGGAGTGGGGATCGGAGGAGTCCGGGTCGACGTGGACCGGGTTCAGCAGGTACAGGTTCTCTCTGGTTCTCCGTGTTTCATCGGAGAAGAAGACTGCATTTGCATCCCCTAATTGCAATTATCGAGATCATTAATTCTAAATTAGGGCGGCATTTGCCTCCGGTTCCTTTTGTCAAGTTCTTAGTTTTTTGTTCTGAAGTCGGAGGTTTGGGGATTGAATTATTAGCTTAAGTCTTTCTGTTACATGCATAATTGGGTTTTTTGCAAAAACCACCCCTGTGTAATCTCGAATTGCTGAAAACGACCTCGTGTTAAAACAATTAGCAAATACTCCCCTATAAAAATTAGTCACAGGCAATAAGGCCCTTAAGAGCTCACCGTGCACTTCACTCGCCATGGATGAGAGTGGGGGTTCGTTTTTTGACACGAAATACCAAAATGCAACCAGAAACTTTATAAGTACCAAAATGAAGTTTTTAAGATTTTCAATTGAGTCCTTTATATTTTCAATTAAGCCATCTTCTTCAATTAGTCCTCCACTTTTTCACCATGATTTTTTCCGGCAAAAACCATCAACCAAACCCATATCTGAACATGAATTTCATTTCTATTCCAAATCCAAGAAAACAAAATGGAAGAAAAACGGCTCCTCAAAATTTTTCGGCACATCCCTGCCCAAACAAAAAAATATACAAAAACCCTTCAAAGAAATTTCTTTCAATTTCCATAGCATTTTCTTCCAATTTGTGAAAACTTAATTCGTACCTTCAGGAAGAATAAGAAGAAGAAGAATGTCAAACTCGAAGAATCATTGGCCGACTCTCCGATTCAACCACGCCGCAGCCGCTGCCCTCTCTCCAAATTGCATAGGACCAAATTGCAATTTTCATAATTTCTCAAAACCTCATCTTCTTTCTCCGTCTCCTTCTTCTCAAATCTGTTCCTCGCCATGGATGCTTCATCCGGCCCGGATGATGCCGCCTCCAAACCCACCTCCGACGAAGAGATGAGACGAATAGGGTCGCGACCAAAAATCTTGATTCAAAAGAAATTTGGAAAAACCCATCAAATTAAACATAAAGCATATTTTTTTTTGGGGAGGGAAGGCAGGTGGTGCGGATGTGGTGGTGATGCAGATGGAAGAATTTTGGGTTGGGGGAGGAGATGATGGCCGTGGGTTTTCTTCTTTTTCATTATGTTTTTTTTTTCTTTTTGATTTGTTCTAATTATATTCATTTTGCAGTTTTATTTATTTATAATTGAAACATAAATTACTATAATATGAGGGTTAATTTAGTCATTTCCTATAGGTCAACTGCTAATTTTGTAATAAGGGGCAGTGTGCTTTGTTAAAAATAATATAGGGGGGTCTATGCTAATATTTTTAACATGAGGGGTTTTTTAACAATTCCAGATTACACAGGGGGTTATATGCAATTAGCTCATGCATAATTATTATCAGTGTTGATCAGGGCTTCACTCTTCTTTCTCCTCACAGCACAACTTTGTTTTGTTCAATAACATAATTTATCACCAGGTTTTATTCTCATGATTTTCATCTACTCGTCGGGCCGGGCCGGGCCGGGAGGAAAACCTGTATATATCTTGTATTATTCTTTTATTCTTATAAATTCATAAACATTTTCCTAATAGAACATCAGAAGTAGAGAGCTAAAAATCGACATTTTTTTAATTAATTAGTGACCGTTGTGACACGAATCGATTTATTGTCCTAAAACTTGTTCGTGCATGCGTGCTCGTTATGTTAATTAATTGATCGATTTTTGTCTCTCCATATGTAAATGTAGCTAGGACAGGAGTTCAGGTTTCGTTTCGACTAAATATCCGATCCTTCATATATATACTCGATAACTAAATTCCGGCCGGTTCATTTGATATCACAGCATAAACCCTAATGATCATGTAACAAACAATCGAATATATTATTGCATATTAAATCTAATCTTAATATGATCATTCATATTATATAATTATATTTGAGTTTAACAAACAAACAAACAAATCATGAGAAATTCATTTCCCAGTAATTATGGAGGTGGTTTCTCTCATCCTAACCGATAAAAACACCGCTTATATTCGTCACAAAATAAGCCTATAAATCACACCCGAAGAAAAACCGGTACAAAGTTTTAATTCCAATCCATTACTCAATAATGGCCGATAATGAAGTCTCGTTTATCTGCAAACGAACCGTGGTCAGCACTAAACCCGTGCGGCCAGGTCAGTTCAGCCCTCTATCAGTTCTTGACCGATTAAATAACGAAAACAGTAATATCCGCCTAGTGTTCTACTACAGTTTTCCGGCCAGAAAAACGGCCGGAGAACTGACGGATAAGCTGAGAGAGTCGATCTCCGATATGCTGTCGTATTTTCCGGTGGTCACAGGGCGGCTGCTGAGGACTTCCGACGGAGACTGGACAATCAAATGCAACGACGCTGGCTTACGAATGGTGGAAGCGAAAGTAATGAAAGGAAGTGTCGAAAAATGGCTGCAAAATGTTGATAGAGAAAAAGAACTGAAGCTTGTTCACTGGGAGGAAATGTTTCACAAACCCTATTTCTGGTCTACTTTTTATGTTCAGGTTAAACCTCTTTGAATTAATACTGTCGGGCTTGCGAAATTCTATTAATTTAGCGAAATATCAAATTTTCGAACTACAAATTTAATATGTTTTCACCTAATCGATCGGAACCGGGAGAATTTATTATTTAAGCGAGGTTATTAATTTATCGAGGTTCTGTTGTACATATTTATTTATTATTATATAATCAATCATTTAGACTCGTTTTCTGGGGTCTGAATTTTCGATTTGCAGATAACCGAATTCGAAGGTGGTGGGCTAGCTATTGGTTTGAGCTGCACTCGTCTACTCTGTGATCCCATCTGTGCAACAATGATGATCAAAGCATGGGCTGATACAACCCTAATCGGCGAAATTACATCCCCGCCCCTACTCCGTCCGTTGCCGATACAAAACCAAAACACCAACCACCACTCTTCTTTAATTGACCGCTACAAATCATACTTAAACTCATCTCCAATTCTAAAATCAGACGACAACACAAAACAAATTACAACCATCACTCTTCAGTTCAATCAAGAAACTGTGAGAAAATTATGCATCGCCATGGCGAACGATGTAAACGGTCACGGGCCGGGCCCCACACCGTTCGAGGCCTTGGCCGGGATTTTCTGGACATGCATCAGCAGAGCAAAGGGGAAGCAACGTGGTTTCTTTGACATGTATGTGTGTTTGGACATGCGGAAAGCGTTGGGATTGGACGAGGGCTTTTTCGGAAACTGCATGGTGTACAATAAGGTAGTACTACTGCATGGGGATGGTAATCATGGTAATTGTGAAGTGTTGTCTGATGCGGTTGCTTTGATCAAAGAGGCGGTATCGGAAATGGACGGTCGAGATGTGATGGAGTTGATCGAGTGGTTGGAAAGCGAAAAGATTAATCGTAATTCGTTGGTGATTAGTGGATGTGATGATCATTTGATTTGTGCTGATTTAGGGAATGTGCATTGTTATTCGGCGGTTTTTGAGGAAAATGTGGTGCCGGTTCGTGTTTCGTACTACATGGACGGGCCGGGTATGGGGACCGGGCAGATACTTGTCATGCCGGCGCCAGGTGGCGGTGATGGGCCGGAGAGTCGGGTGGTGGCGGTGACACTTCCGGAAGATGAAGCCGAGAAGGTTCTCGAAGATTCTTTGATCCGGCAACTTGGTCCGATTACTTTGATGGGGTTGAACAAAAAACCCTAATTAATCAATTAATTTTATCTGCAAGATGCATGCATGCATAGAGAACTTCAGATTAGTAAAATAAAATTTGTTAAATCAAAATAATTAGAGAGAGAGAACTTCATATTAGTAAAATAAAATTTGTTAAATCAAAATAATTAGAGAGAGAGAACTTCAGATTAGTAAAATAAAATTTGTTAAATCAAAATAATTAGAGAGAGAGAACTTCAGATTAGTAAAATAAAAATAATTAAAGAATTTTTTTTTATTAAATGGGTCCCATTATTATGCGTCTGCCGGGAGTCGAACCCGGGTCTATTGCTTGGAAGGCAATTATCCTAACCGTTGGACTACAAACGCTTTGCTGTTGGATTTTAATGATTAAATTATATAAACGTTTCCTCAACATTATTACCTTTTTTTATTTTCAGTTAATTACAGGGTTAACTGATTAATTATAATGATTACCTTTTTCATTACGACAAATAGTAAATACATGAGGCCATGCATGCAAAGTAGCTATTTTCCTAAGCTAGGACTTGGATGTAATATCAAGAACATTTAATTATCATTATCATGTTTTGTACAGCTACTTGAACAATTATAGAGTTTGTCTGTATAATTAATTAATAAAAAAATCATTATTATATAGTCTGCGACAAAAGATTTAGCTTACAGCATCAAAAGATCGTGAATATCTTAAATAAACATTAAAAGATTCTCAGTTGTCAGCTAGACTGTTTTTTTATACCAGACAATATAAATATATATGGTCACAATTTAAGGATGCAAATTGTAATTATGGAAAGTTTTGGGGAATCCCGTTACTAATTCAAAAGTTAATATAAATTTAAATATATTTAATAATGAAAATGAAGTTTGAAATTTGGGCACCAGCTGTGTGTAACTCTGCACATGGACACAATATATAAGGAGTAGACGTGTACCTCTAAATCAAGATAATCAATTTCATTTATTTATGTTAGTTACGTTGACTTTTGGACCGACAAATCTACTTAGGAATTAGGATTCAATAGGATTTCACTACAGTTTGATGGGATTAATTGATGATCGTTGATTAACAAATTAATTAAATGTAATTAATTAAGGTTCAGATCATTAATATGGTTAATCCTAATCGATATTGCAAGGGTGCAAATTTAGATCGGATGGTCTGTTTTAATAGGAAAATCGAATGCCATAGGATGATTGACACGTGGATAGTTTAAATAAAAATATAATCAGGATTCTAATAATTGAAAAAGAAAAAAAAGAAAAAAACAACAGAATCCATAACCCCACTAACCCTAATTATAATTAGTGTTGATTTATTAAGAGTTAAGACTTAAGAGTGTCACATGTCAAAAAATTAGTGGAATCCGATTTATATTAAATATCGGCTGATCCACTCATAATTTAATCTCATTTTGCAATAATAATTAATCCAACAGTAATTTGTCCAACTGTTTGCATGCATGATTTTGCAATTTTAACAGAACATTATATTCGCGTAGTAAGTTTGGCGTCGATCGGATAGATCTTTACCATTCATAAACACACAGATATAATTAAACGGACGTGGGACATCTAATATTGTTGAAGATCAACGGTCAAATAGTCGATAACATGATTAAATTATATAAATTTTTTTCCGATTTGGTAATTTGTGACCTATGTACTTACATCATTCTATGATCAAACACACTTGACATTTTTTTTTTTTTTTTTTTCCAATAAATCATAATAATTCAAGAAGCCGCCTACAAAATTCAAATAAATGTACTGCAGAAATGTAAGCAATGATCAATCACAAAAACTTCATACCAATTACATTCAAGTATATTATGTCAGATCCCAATGCCTTGTCAACTACACAATTATAAATATATACATACATGTATATATAATATATATGTATATATATATATATATAAAATAATATTTAAAAAAAAAAAAAGAAAGACCAAGTACAGTAGAGCTTACCATGTGAGAGGGGATTATTTTAAATATATTCTTCAGTTGGCCATTTAATATCATACAGATAAATTCAAAATGAGATCAGTTTTCTGATCTTCAACACAACTAATCATTCACTAATTTATTATTGTTATTATTATTATTTATTATTTTATGTTTTTCTAGCCATTATCTTCTATAGGTATTATTTGGAACAGAAGCATCTTTACACCTTAATACCCGATTTTTTCGAAACGTTCTTCGATTTTAACGATGAAGATGAAAACTAAACGAGGACGGAGGAATATCTTTTCGAATAAAACAAAACATGGCCAAGAGGAAAAGAACAAAGAGAAATTAATTAGGTGAAATAATGGAAACCTATAAAGAAAGCATGAAAGCTTTCAAGTAGCTCAGTGGGAGAAGGATGATTTTCAAAAGGAAATAACAAACTGTCATTCCAAAAAAAAAAGAAGAAAAAAAAATTACGGCCATCTCCCTGAGGTAATATCAAATTACGAAAAAACCCCCTTATGTTTGGGTAATTATAACCACAACCATTAACTATGAATTTTCTTACGTGTCAAGCCTTGTGGTGTCGAATTTAATGAAATCTTCAAGATTTTGTGAAATATTCTCCAGTTTGTACCCGTTTTACCTCATTCGAGCTCCACTTTTTGAAACAAGATGATCGTAAGATGTGTCTCTTGGCTTGTAAATAACATATTGTGATGCATCAGAAACTGATTTTTTGCATAAAACGAGTACAAACTAGAGAACATTCCACGGAATCTAGAAGATTCTATTGAATTTGACACCATAAGGGTGGACGTGGAAGAAGATTCATAGTTTGAGGGGTGATCGTAATTACCTAAACATGAGGGACTTTTTTGTAATTTGACCTTACCACAGGGAGATAACCGTAATTTACCCAAAAAAATATTGATTCAGCCAATTAACTGAATTTCAATCTTCAATTACCAAAGGCAAGTAGTACAAATTCTTGATCATGTGAGTTTTCATGACATCGACACTTACATCAGCCACTAAAAATGACAAAATGCCATGTTTGACCTTTAAGCAATTCATCTAATGTGCCACGTTATTCAAGAATCATAATCACTCAAAAAATAATAAATAATTAAAAAATAATTAAGTTGCATATAAAGAGACAAAGCTTCATATTGATCTTCTTCTTGTGTTGTTTGATGAAGCATTATTGATGGAGGGTGGTGACATATTTAGAGTTAGCAGCGCGCGTTTAGGCAGCTCGAGTATATGGCGGAACACCGGCATGGAATCTTTTTCGCGGTCCGAAAAAGATGCCGAAGACGACGAAGAAGCATTGAAGTGGGCCGCCCTCGAGAAACTTCCGACGTATCTCCGTATAAGGAGAGGCATGCTTGTCGAAGACGAGGGTAAAACACGAGAAGTCGATATAAAGAATCTCGGATTATCCGAACGAAGGAATCTCGTCGAGAGGCTACTTAAGATTGCCGAGGAAGGCAATGAGAAGTTTTTGCTCAAGCTCAAGGAACGAATTCAAAGGTATTTATTTATTAATTAAAAAAAAAAAAGTCGATTTTTTTCGACTTTTCGAAAAAAAATATTTTTTTTTGAGGGATCGAAAAAAAATATATATTTTTTTTTTCGAAAAAAAATATTTTAACATGGAAATAATTTCAGGGTAGGTCTTGATTTTCCGACGATCGAAGTCCGGTTCGAGAACTTGAACGTTGATGCGGATGCATATGCGGGGGGTCGAGCTTTACCTACCATATTCAACTTTACTGTCAATATATTGGAGGTGATTTAGTTTAATTCAACTAATTAATTAACATAGAATAAAATAAAATCAGTGCTTGCATGAGTTATCGACCTTTTCGGCAATTATGTATCGTTTTTCTTGTATCGCGATCAGGGTTTCTTGAGTTATCTTCGTATTCTTCCGAACAGAAAGAAACCGTTGCCGATTCTGCATGATGTAAGTGGGATCATAAAACCAGGAAGGTGAGTCGAGAACAAATAATGTATACACTAAGTGTTCGTCCTTTTCAATTTGATTCGACTAATTACTCTGTTTTGTTATTTTGTTTTTTGGTAGGATGACGTTGCTTTTGGGCCCACCGAGCTCTGGAAAAACGACGTTGCTACTAGCTTTAGCTGGGAAGCTCGATCCGGAGTTGAAAGTAAGGAATCGGGAATCGTATGTTGTTAAAAATCTCTAACGTAATGTTGAAATTGCTAAAGAGTATGTATTTATGCATAGATATCGGGGAGAGTGACGTACAACGGTCATGAGATGAACGAGTTTGTACCGCAAAGGACGTCGGCTTACATAAGCCAGCACGATTTGCACATTGGAGAACTGACGGTTAGAGAAACGCTCGCTTTCTCCGCCAGATGTCAAGGAGTTGGCGCTCGTTACGGTCGATATATATACAACAAGAAATTCATTTTTATTCGATGCAGAGTAGTGTATATATGTATATATATTCATCGGTTTTCTTGGAATTTACAGAAATGCTGACCGAGTTGTCGAGGAGAGAGAAGGAAGCAAACATTAAACCGGACCCTGATCTCGATATTTACATGAAGGTTGTCGATGAACTCAAGTGCAAAATTTCTAAAAATGCTAACAAATTAAAATTGTTTTTTGATTTTTTTTCGTTCGACAGGCATCGTCGATTGGAGGGCAGGAAGCAAGTGTGGTAACGGATTACATCATCAAGGTAAAAAAAAAACTCGATATTTTCAGTCAATGATGTAACGAAAATCGGTTGATATTTTTCAATAACTTGATTCCGAACAGATTTTAGGACTTGAAGTGTGTGCCGATACGTTAGTAGGCGACGAAATGTTCCGAGGAATATCCGGAGGACAAAGAAAGAGACTCACGACAGGTACGATTATCGAAAAAAATTAATTTATCGCAATCCAATTTCTAAAATCGAATATTCGATTCCAATTTATAATGCAGGCGAAATGATGGTCGGACCGGCAAGAGCACTATTCATGGACGAGATATCGACCGGTTTGGATAGTTCGACAACTTTCCAAATCGTGAACTCGATACGACAATCGATCCACATTTTGCAGGGAACTACTATAATCTCACTCCTACAGCCTGCACCGGAAACGTACGATTTATTCGACGACATCATTCTTCTATCCGATGGTCAGATCGTATACCAAGGTCCCCGAGAAAACGTACTAGAATTCTTCGAGCACATGGGGTTTCGATGCCCCGAGAGAAAAGGAGTAGCCGATTTCTTGCAGGAAGTAAGTAATACCCTTTTCGTCTTTTTTGTATCCGTAAAAAGAAACTACTGATCGTAAAATCCCGCATGCAAAATTCTAGGTGACGTCGAAGAAAGATCAAGAACAGTACCGGATACAAAAAGACGAAACTTACGAGTACGTTTCTGTCCAAGAGTTTTCCGAAGCATTCCGGTCGTTCCGTATCGGTCAAGAGCTCGGCGATGAGCTGGCGGTTCCGTTCGACAAGGAAAAGAGCCACCCTACTGCACTAACCACCGATAAATACGGCGTCAGCAAAAAAGAGCTTCTGAAAGCGTGCGTGGCTCGAGAATATCTGTTGATGAAGCGGAATTCGTTCGTCTACATATTCAAGATGCTACAAGTAAGATCCACATAACGATTTTTTCACCCCTCGAACGACGGTAAAATATCACTGACCGTTCGTTTATTATTTTTTCGCGCGTCTCCAGCTTATCATTGTAGCTAGCATTTCATTGACGTTGTTTCTGCGCACGGAAATGCCGAAGAATAACGTGACGGACGGCGGAATATACTTGGGTGCTCTGTTTTTCGCGCTTATTATGATTATGTTCAACGGATTCTCGGAGCTCGCACTCAGTATTATGAAACTCCCGGTTTTTTTCAAGCAACGGGATCTTTTGTTTTTTCCTCCGTGGGCATATACTTTGCCTTCGTGGATTCTCAAGATTCCGATCACACTCGTCGAAGTTGCTATTTGGGTGGGTATGACTTACTATGCCACGGGATACGATTCTGACGCCGGAAGGTAAATCTTTTTAACACGTTGTCGTTGTGTCGGGACTGATAAAAAAATATTATTTAAACGAGGTTATTAATTTATCGAGGTTTCAAATGGCAGGTTTTTCAGACAACTGCTTCTGCTTATATGTGTGAATCAAATGGCTTCGGCGCTGTTCCGTTTGATGGGGGCGCTAGGACGAAACCTCATCGTTGCGAATACGTTTGGTTCGTGCGCATTGCTCACGGTTTTCGTCTTGGGTGGTTTCATTTTATCACGAGGTATTTACCGAAAATATAAATGCAAGATTTCGATGCTTTAATGCTCATACGTACGTCGGTTCAGAATTCGACTAACGTAACTACGGCTACTTGTTTATATCAGATGATATCAAAAAATGGTGGATATGGGGTTTCTGGACTTCGCCTTTGATGTACGGGCAGAACGCCATCGCGGTGAACGAGTTTCTCGGAAAGAGTTGGAGTCATGTAAGAATCATTCCGGCATATTCTTCGAAGGGATAAACTAAAGTATATATAACTTACGGTTAAGAAATGTTCGTTTTTTACAGGTTCCTGCAGGCTCGACGGAATCGGTTGGATTGACGGTTTTAAAAGCTCGAGGGCTTTTTTCGGAAGCACGATGGTATTGGATTGGTGTCGGAGCGATTATCGGATACGTGTTCCTATTCAATTTCCTAGTTACCGTTGCTCTGACTTATTTGAACCGTAAGTGCTCTCGTATACCTCGGTTTTATATATTTAGATCTTATTCTAAGACGATTTGAGAACATTTGGTACGTGTGCGAATGCAGCGTTCGGGAAACCACAAGCGATTCTACCGGAAGAAGCAGTAGCGGAGAGGAATGCGGGACGAGGAGACGATGTTCGGAGAAGTTCGTCGTCGGGATCCATGTCATCAAGAGTCGGCACGGTTATCGGTAATGCCGATCCAAACCGGAAGAGAGGAATGATTTTACCGTTCGAGCCTCTTTCGATCACATTTTGCGATATCCGTTACGCAGTAGATATGCCACAGGAAATGAAAGCTCAAGGAATTCAAGAAAACCGACTCGAGCTGCTGAAAGGCGTGAGCGGTGCTTTCCGGCCCGGAGTTTTGACGGCGCTGATGGGCATTAGTGGGGCCGGTAAAACCACTTTAATGGATGTATTAGCGGGTCGGAAAACCGGTGGTTATATAAACGGGACAATCACTATATCGGGTTACCCGAAAAAGCAAGAAACGTTCGCACGTATTGCAGGATACTGCGAGCAAACCGACATTCACTCACCTCACGTCACGGTCCACGAGTCCTTACAATTTTCCGCGTGGATGCGCTTGCCTCCCGAAGTCGACACTGCAACGAGAAAGGTTCATTTAAAAAAAAAAAAAAAAAAAAAGATACATAAATTTACGTAGTCGAAAATAAATTATATTATATGAATTTGCAGATGTTTATTGAAGAGGTGATGGAGCTAGTCGAGCTTACACCGCTGAGAGAAGCGCTCGTGGGCTTGCCCGGAGTGAACGGACTTTCGACCGAGCAGAGAAAGAGGCTAACGATTGCGGTCGAACTCGTTGCGAATCCATCGATCATATTTATGGACGAGCCGACTTCGGGCCTCGACGCAAGAGCTGCTGCAATTGTAATGAGAACCGTTAGAAACACAGTCGATACAGGTCGAACGGTTGTTTGCACTATCCATCAACCGAGCATCGACATTTTCGATGCCTTTGACGAGGTAATTAATTAGTTAATCGTTATCTCGTGGCCTAGCTGTTTTCGAAAAATCGAGTAGCGAACGCTATAAATGAATTAAAAAAATGCAGCTATTACTACTCAAACGAGGAGGCGAAGAAATATACGTGGGCCCTTTAGGCCGACATTCTTCTCAGCTAATTAAATACTTTGAGGAAATCGACGGAATCAGTAAAATCAAAGACGGTTATAATCCAGCTACGTGGATGCTCGATATAACCTCGACGGCACAAGAAGCAGCTCTCGGCGTCGATTTTGCCGAACTATATAAGAACTCCGAACTTTGCAGGTAAAATACCGAAAACACACGTTAGCTCGATTTTCACCTCTCGGCATGTTTAATTCAATCATTTGTGGAAATTAAAAAAAATTCAGGAAAAACAAAGCGCTGATCGAGGAGCTAACTGTACCGATCCCGGGTTCGAAAGATTTGTACTTCTCGAAACGGTACTCGCAATCTTTCTCGACTCAATGCATGGCTTGCCTGTGGAAGCAGCACTGGTCGTATTGGAGAAACCCTCCGTACACGGCAGTAAGGCTGCTATTTACGACGTTCATCGCGTTACTTTTCGGGACTATTTTTTGGGGTATTGGGTCCAAACGGGAGCGACAGCAAGACGTGTTCAACGCAATGGGTTCGATGTACGTTGCCGTTCTATTTCTCGGCATACAAAATGCTACGTCGGTTCAACCGGTTGTTGCGATTGAGAGAACGGTCTTCTACAGAGAGAGAGCTGCTGGAATGTACTCGGCTTTGCCGTATGCGTTTGGACAGGCTGTAATTGAATTGCCTTACCTTCTGATTCAAACACTCATATACGGTGTGATTGTGTATGCGATGATCGGGTTCGAATGGACGGTCGTGAAATTCTTTTGGTACATTTTCTTCATGTATTTCACGCTGATGTACTTCACGTTTTACGGGATGATGACGGTGGCGGTGACGCCAAACCACAACATAGCCGCCATTGTTTCGTCGGCATTCTACGGGTTATGGAATCTCTTCTCCGGATTCATCATTCCAAAAACAGTAAGTATCCCGGAAAATAAATAAATTGACAATAATAAAATTAACAATTCGGGTTTATTATTTTCTTTCGTAATTTTTTTTTTGGTGAACAGAGAATCCCGGTGTGGTGGAGATGGTACTACTACGCTTGCCCAATAGCTTGGACGCTGTACGGATTGGTTGCTTCGCAATTCGGTGACGTGCAAGATAGGCTCGACACTGATGAAACAGTTGCAGAATTCGTGCACAGTTATTTCGGATTTCAACACGATTTTGTGGGATACGTTGCGATAATCATCACTGGATTAGCTGTGCTCTTCGGCTTCATTTTTGCCTTCTCGATCAGAGCTTTCAACTTCCAGAAAAGATAGATAATGTGTATATTTCTAAACAGTTTGCTTCCGTTTTTCCGTAACGTTTATCGACATTCTTTGTTTCGGGCTAGCCCGGGTTTGAAATATAAATATAAAATAATCGAGCGTGAATAGCTCAATTTTTTGTTCATATTATATCACATTCTTTTAAAGAAAACTCCAAGCTTGAGCCGAACTTCAAAACTTATCGAACAAAAGTATGTGTTCCAAGCTTCGTTCGATATGTTAACAAACTTATCACAAACAATCTGCGACAGAATCGAGTACAGGATAACTTAGTTTGGTTTTGAAAAAACCACATAAAAGAACATAATGCTCTCTCTATATATCCAAGTTAATGGTTACATTAGTTCAAATCTAACGGCAACTAGGCCCGATAAATAACTAACAAAATACACGGAAAAAAAAAACCCTAGAAAATGCGAAACTGAACCCCCTCCGGATATTTTACAACTAGGAATTAAATCCTCTCAAAATCTCAAGCCAGACCAATAAATAATGATCAAAGAGAAAACAGAAAAGAAAAAAATTGAGGTGCAGATGCAAGAAAAGAGATCGAACATTAATTAAACCTCCCATCTTAACTAGCCAAGTCATCCAAGAAGCTCTGCAACTCCTTCAACCCTTCAGCAGAAACGCTCCGCTGTACTCTTCCACGAGGAGCAACCAACCTAGGCGGCGGCTCTGTCTGAAAACAGACAACCACCACCGATAAATTGTCCCCACTTTTCCTCTTCAAAGCCTCGTCAACAAGATCTTTACTACACCTAATCGGGTCATTATGCTCTTGAAGCCTCCTTCGGGCAAAATCCACTGCATTCTGGCTCATAAAAACATCCCATAGACCATCACAGCCTATGATTAAAAACTCGTCTTCTTTTGTTAGTCTTGTGCTCATAAGTTCTGGCTCTGCAGTGAGGGGCCCACCATCTTGACCTTTTAGCCCCTCCATATGCCAGTCTCCTAAAGCACGAGCTACGTTTATTTGTCCGTTTAGGTAACCGTCGTACACGTAACCTCCGGAAGCTTCTATTCGCCTTCTCTCTCTTAAACAAAGAGGCTTGTGATCTCTCGACATTTCAATCGCTTTACCCCCTCGGCAAAGCACTGCTCTGCAGTCTCCAGCATTTGCCACCACCAGAGAGCTAAAGTGAAAAAAACAAAAACAAAAAGGAACAAGTTACAGTAAGGATAATTTATGGTTTTGCATTTTGAAAACTGAAACAAGTTGATTATGTGCGTAGTTAATGGAACACTAACCTTCCGATAACCAAAGCTGTTAAAGCAGTGGTGCCAGAGGCGAGATCTGCATCCAAGGAACAAGCTTCTGCAAAAGCAGTGTCGGTCTGTAGAAATGCTGTTGATATTACGCTCTCGATCTCCTGAGGAAAATTTCCGTCCTCAAGAATGAATCTGGGTAAATGGTAGCATGCAAAGTCAGCAGCATGTTTTCCTCCATGTCCATCAAAAACCTGACCAAGAAGAAGGGACATGAGTGCTGAGTTTGCAATGTTTTGTAATGAAAAGACAGACAGATCGAACAACTCACATCACAAATATACTACAGAGAAACATAATTAAATAGACAGGATCCAACCACTTTCTTTTTCAATTCTATTCAACATAGAAACATAATTAATGGCAAATCTTTTTAGAGTATCCAGTGAAATTTCTTTACACAAAAAACATTACCAAGAGTCATAAATATGCAGATCTATAATTCAAAAGCTGACTGATGACAACTTCATTATCATCAATAATCGTGGTAATGTAAGCGAGAGTAGCAAAAAAAGAATACAAGGGAAAGGTTTAAAAGGGAAAAATTACCCCATAAAATGCGGTAGGCTTGTGGTTGGAGATATTTGACCCATAATCATGCATCAAATTGTCTGTACAAATGTATACATCCTCCATGCTTGAACGAGAACCAATGTCTGTCCAAGCACCTGACCGAAGCAGGGGCATAAATTCAGCAACACTGTCATCTCCACTCAATATTGTCCCAATTGAGATATCCGAGGACCTGATCTTCACCTGCTAAACCTCTAGTCAAAATGTAGTCCCCATGCGTAATAATATAAATTTACAAAATGAAGAAATCACACAGAGTAAAATGAAGATACTCAAAAATCTAGGACAAACAGCAAAATTGCTGTCTGTCCCTGAAAATGTTAATAGCTTTTGGTGAAAACACACTAATCCAATGACATTAAATTGACAGAAACAAGAACCTCCATGTGGCATAGTTCAGATAGTGACATTCAATAGACTTAATAGATAATCTAACCACAAAGATTCAGAGTATAATGACTGAACTTTTACAACCAAATCAAGCAGTAACTACTTAACACATCAAAATTTGAATCATTCCCCTTTTCCCTTTCTAAATATATCAGAAACGCAATTCATGTGAGGAACAATAAAGCCCATAACCCCAATTTCTAAATTCTATAACCTCAATTTCAGAATAATAATTGCATAATCACCCAAAAAAAATCACATAAAATCCTTTCATAAAGTTGTCATTACTTCAAAACAACACGAGGCTTCTAATTAAACGAACAAAAGAGGCAACAAAAAAAAAAGAGAGGAAATTTTGAACTGGAATTACCAAAGAGGAGTGCCGAACAAGAGACTTCGTACACAAAGACGGCGGCGCGCCATCAGAATTCAAGCAGTGTCGGTACACGGTTCGTCCGCCTAGTGAGTTGGGAATGGGCGGCCGTCCGTCGCCGGAGCTGCAATTCTCTCTGCCAGCATCGCCATTGTCGATAATTACTCTACTGCCCTCCATTGCAAATCTCAACCATAATTTCTAACGAGCGGATGTTATTAAAAAAAAAAAAAAAAAACTGAGAGCAAGAACCAAAAATAAAATGAAAATCCCCAAATTCCTAATGCAATGGGGCTGAAAATTCGGGTTCTTTTGGTAATCTCGGTGGTCGCTAGGGTTTTCGATTTGGGGGAACTGGGGCTCAATAATGTAATAGTGTGTGAATAGATACAGATTTGTATTTGTATATACGTATAGAAAGACGGGATCTCTCGCAGAACAACGTATCGGGTCAATTTTTTGAGGGATTCTGCCGCTGCGAATTTCTTATATATATAAGTAAAGGCGTGACGTGGACAACCCACGAAACGGTGCCGTGTCAGTTTTTCTGAACGACGCGTGTCCTTTTAAAAGGTCTCCTTTTTTCCAAGTGTTTGACATTGAATTTCTAATTTTGGATTTTGTCATTCAATTTTTCATTTATATTAATGTTCTTTTAAACTATTTGGTAATTTTCTTACAAATTCAAAAAATAAGCTTTTAATTTCTTTCTTTTTTTTTCATACCTTTAGCCCACATTTTATTTAAAATTTTATAATGAAAAAAGGATAGTTTATAAACCCATTATCCAAGCAGTTTAAAAATTAATTCTATAAATAAAATGTAATAGTTTATCTATTCCTAAAACAACTTATTAAATATAAGAACTTATGAGTTCTTTAAAATAAGTTTATCCAAACAGACCAGTAGACGGCTAAGAAATTTATAACTTTAATCATGTGGGCTTTTATCACCTTGAATAATATCAGAGTCACACACCAACTTTAATTCGATCCATCAAATAATTGGGCTTATTGAAGTTTGGCCCAACAAATATTATTATTATTATTATTATTATTATTATTACATTGATGATATGGACATCGACTTAATATAAACAAGCAGATAACTGATTGATCATATATTATGTAATAAAAAATGCAAGAGTCATGCTTGCACGCGTTAGCTGAATTATTCAACTCTCTTTGCTTGGAGAAACATATCAATTCAATTGTCGCTATCATTTTAAATAATAAAAATACTAATAAATCAAATTGACCGTTTCCTAAATATTGGTCCATGTCAATCCAACCGTTGACTTTTTTTTGATTGGTCAGCAAACGCGGTCTCTGTAGTATCTATATATACACCACACATTGCTACATTCAAGACGTTTTGCAGCTACGTGGAATTTTAGTAGTGACATGGAGGAGAAAGCGCGCGAATGGGGAGGAGGCTTTTTGCCGCCGGAATCTGGTATTGCCGAAGGAGGTATATTCGTTATAACTGAGTTTTGGGTCTTTTGTATAATATTGTCAAACTTGAAGGGTTATTTATGTAATTTCATGCTACTAACAAAACTTTCTTGAGCTAATTAACTAACGTCAAAAGCCCTTTTTTTGAATTACATTGTTCATATATAATTATATCATTCCAATTATATTATTGACTATTGAGTAAATATCATTCATATATATGATTTAAATTTCTTGATCTAAAAAATATTAAAAATTCATTCATATGATTTTGCAGTAGCTTTTTTTTTTGGGATCGTGATTTTGCCGTAGCTTCGAGTCGCCGAATCCGCGATAACCCTGAACGCGTATTGTTGGATTTTTTTTTGGGATTATAACATTTATAAGAAAGCAATGTATCGTTTGGAATTGTTAAGATATAATTAACCAACATAAGATTAAATAATATTCTAACGAAAATACAATTATTTCATTCGGATCCCGAGATGTTCTAAAAGGTAAATTAAACTAAAACATCATAACATAATATTTTCGAGTCGAAAAGTTATTGGATTTACCAAGTATCAAAAATCTACAATTATATAGTTAACCGTAACTAATCTTTCCAACGTCGTCCAAACAAGACCTAAGAATACAAATTAGTGATAGGTTTGTGTAGAGAAGAGGTCAAGAAATGTTATCCACATAATTGTTATAATTAATTAATTAATTAATTACCATTTCTTCACCGCTAAGATATGTTAATGTACTAAGTCAATAGTTGATATCTCTTTGCCACGTCCATCTAACCTGTACATCTTATCGTAATTTATTAAATCAGAGTATAATATACGACTATTCTTCAAACCCTAGCTATATATATTTATATATATATATATATATATATATATATATATATATATATATATATATATATATATATATATATATATA